TGCGCTCGTCTGTCTGTCTGCCTGCCGCACCTGTCACGTGATGCCGAGCAGGTACAGTTACAGTTATACATTGGCTTCAGAGGGATTCTACGTACGCGGCGGTTCACCGGCAATAGTTTCGACCAGTACAGCACGAACGACCGCGGAATCCTGAAGGTTTGTTCGTAGTAACAAGTGAGACACGTTGCGTCGCGCCGGTTAACCATGAAAAGTTGAACAAACGCGTACCGGTTTACGATTCTTTTCGTTCCGTCCTCCACAGTTCGCGGGCTTCATCGGTGTAAATCGTTCCACAGAATGGCACAGAACAGTATTGTTTTAAAATGGAAGTGAATGGAACGCAAGCTGGTACATTCAACCGTGTTTGCTCATTCGACGGTTAACAGTTTTTCTTTTGCATTGGTTTCGAGGCAAGCGGATAATAATTCGTGCAACGAAGCGAGTGTACAGAAGTGTACCGTGTACCGTGACGGTGCGCAAACTGCCATCGTGTGCCTGTTCGTACATTTCATTTTCAAAGGTTCCCGTCAAAAGTCCGTTCCCAGGTGGATACGTTTTCGTTGCGGGCATCCGATCGGAGTTTCCACAAAGGACGACCGTGTAAAGCAGTGGTTTCGATCGAATTTCATAGTATACTTAGCTGGTGAAAGGTGACGTCAATTATTTAGACGACGACTTTAGGCTCGAGCAATCTGCAGAGCTGTATTTATTAACGAATGCGGTAACTCGAAGCTGAAAAGTTTTACGTGCACGCGAATTAACGTCGCTTGTTGAAAAAACGTGCGAAGACACACGAAGAATCTCGAGTTCCGTTGGCGATTCCCGCGGGGAATGCTAACGTCGCGGCGAAATTCGGAGGAACGGGGAACATCGTCGGCCTGAGTAACGTAACGAAGCGATACGCGTCGGTCTTCCAAGGATTATCGCCTGGAGCGTGGTATTAGTCGCCGGTAGATGTTGGTCGGGCACGGGTTGTCTTACCCGCAGTAGCCTTGCGATCGATCGTCGTCTCGTCGTGAAGCCACGTGCTAAGAACTTCACGTATCGTCGTTCCCACCACGAAGAGACTCCAATATCCTGGCAGTGGAAATATCTTCCGCGATTCTCTTGGAAAGTTCGACGATTTACTCCCTTATCCGCGGAAAAACGATCCTAAACGGATTAAAAACGTATAAAATCTATCCGTACTGTAACCCCAGTTGAAAACGATTACCGAAACCACCGTACCTGACGTCCAACCGAACCGATCCGATCCAGAATCGACGAGATAACTGCATTGCGGCGTGTACACGGTTTCAAGCGTGATTATCGATCGACCACGAGGAGAACGTCGATGTTCGCTACTTGGAAATATATACTGTTTTCGAAATCGTACAGACAAGAGACACAGTCGACTGGAATTCGATTCGATCGTGAACTATGGCCGACTAAAATGTCACACCGTCTTTGAACAGTCAGTGTAAACACGGGACGAAGTTTGCTGGAATAAGCCGCGCGAAGGGAAGAACGTGTCTAAAGTGTTTCGATTCGAGCCCCGTGAAACCGAACAGGCGGTGGAGAAAGACGGTGGAGTTTGTTTTCCGCGACAAAGGAAATCGTCGTGAAGACGAAGAGACGAAACACGACGTTTCGCGCGAACGCGAAAACAGGTCAAGAGTCGATCTTGCGATCGAGATAATAGAGAGAAAGAGAGTCTAGAGGAGACTAGCGAAGCCGTAAAATCCGTCTCTGGAGAGCGAGAGCAGACCGGAAAGCCACGGGTTTTGAAATTTCGATTGTTCTTGGCTCGTTAAACGGGCAACAACGTCGGAGGAACCTTGAAGATTCCGGGACTGGTGTTTTCGCACGATTTTCCTATCCCCCGCCCGTCGTTTTCTCGGAGCTCGTCACCGCTCGAAGATGCATCGGGATTTGTGTACGGGAAAAAAGACGATAAAGTTTCACGGAGATTAGTGTGAACGGTTGCCATCGTCCCTCCACTTCCTGGTTTTTTTTGTATTGTATCGGTTATCAACGAGCGGACGGAAAGAAGGTAGAAGGACATAGGCGCGATCGAAGGAAGAGGAAAATCGATAGACACCGTGGAAACGGACGAGGTCCGGTCGTTGACATCGTTGGCGTGACATGCGTTCAAGATGAACCACGATCCAACGATCTGCCGCCAGTACTTCTACTGTAGTCAGCGTAGACATCGTATCAGGTACCGATTTCACGGTGACGTTAGATCGTTTAAAATTATGGGGACGAACGTTCGAAAGATTCATCGATCGCGACGATATGCGGTTATGAATCTCGACAGATTCCTCGTGAGTTTGTTATCGCTAACTTTTGAGAAAAAATTGTGAAAACTTACAATCTGCCTCGGTCTCCCCTACATAAAACGGAGCACGTGACGTTATTCACGTTCACCGAGGTCTCGCTACATGCACACGGGTCATAGATTTTTCCACGGAAGAATACGCTCGATCGCGAGAAATCGACGGCAGCGTTGCGACCACTTTTGTCCTCCTTCGTACGGTCGTTTAATTTGATTCGATAGATTCAACCTTAGCCAGATACAGTCGAAAGAAACTATCGACGACTCGTTTTCCTTGAAAGATCGAGTCAAGTCCCTGAAGCTAAGCAGTTGTACGATCAAGGCTCCGAAACTCGGTTCGTAGTCTCTGTCTGTGTTCTTGCGAGGAAAAGCACCGAGAGTAGGGACTGTGCGACGGCGATGGTATTAAACGGAGACACGAACGCCTGGCGATAAACGTGAATCAAGGCTGTTCGAATCTGTCGGGCAGCATAGTGCGAATTAGACACAACTCCCTTAGACGTAAATCCCATCGAATTCTTTCCGTCGACGATGATAAGCGTTTGGGTTAGGGCTGGGTTAGGTACCGACCTGTACACGATCGGTATTTAAAATTCATTTAACACCGATATCGCGTAATGCACGCCAATTGACGTAACTCTCGTCGAATTGTTTCCGTCGACGATGATAAGCGTTTCCTCGACGATCGCAAACGCTAGATTCAACAGCGACCTCTCTCTTTCCATGGGAAAACGGTTACGTGGGCAATTGCCGTCGCGGCTCACTCAAAAGATCCACGGTACTTCGACCCGTGGACTTAAACGAGATAGTCGAGCTCGGTGCGCGAGTAGACGCTTTAAACCTGATCGAAGGCACACAGTCTTCTCAGAGTCGTTTCCCACGGTTTCATTTCGATTCCTGTTACAGAAAACTGACAGAACCTGGAAACACGTTCGTATTTCGAAAAAAATACCATGACACGTTTCTTGATTCACGTAGGTACGCATAGAACGTCAAGGTGTACTACGTATTGTGCACACCGAAAATTCCGATGTTTCTATTTCAAGGCTGAAAGCGAACGTTCCGTTCGGAAATACCTGTTCGTTCGCCGGTACAGAAATGTTTAGCTTCTCCCGAGAACTCGCGAATCGCGCGAAAAGCCATCCGTGAATTTTCTGGGTAAATGTTTCTCTGGCTGCCGCAGGCAAACATTTGCTCGAGTTCGATGTTATCTGGCCCGATTTACGTCGGTATTGTCGTTTTGCCGAAGGATGGAACGAATCGGAGTCGCATGATCACTCGATGGCGCGGACTGCGAGCCGATTCGATGACCGACGACTTCCTGGATCGAGAGGCGTTTCAGGTGTACTTAGTCACCGTGCCGCGCTACGTATACATCGCTCGCTTCTTGCCTTTATATGACGTCTACCGACCAATCATCTCCGAATTCGACGCGTTTCGCCTTGAAAACTCGCAATCCGTGTCTAACCATCGACCAATTATCATACTGGACTCATGACACAGCAGTTCCACAAACGACAGAATTCTATTCTTGGGGAACAAACGTGTACATGTCGTGTTTCTTTCCCGTAACTTAGACCGGGCATTTTAACTTGAATTCCACTGGGACATGGAACACTCGAGGATTATCGCCGCACAAAATCCTTTCGTTCGCGTGTTTCTAATCGCGTGTATTATTAGTCCACGCCGGCTGGAATTATCGTGGTCATTAGAAGCGGTCAGTTTATCGATTAATCGATACGACATCCTGTTTCTGTACACGTTACCCGGGGCTGTTTCGTGTGGATTCGTGGCTGACCTTCGCGTTTTCAGGGCTGAAAGCATACGATTCTTGGACGTCAGAGACCGTTTTTCCTTTGCTACCAGTCAATTTCCTCCAGGATAAGTCGCAGAGCTTTGGGTTCAACGCGTTGCACTCAAAATCTAGGCAGCAATTAATGGTCCGTTTATAATGGAAACGAAAGTTCCTTCGCGTCGGCTAGGAAAACTGGCGTATCTTAACAAAGATCATCCGGGGATCGACGCGATTGCTGGTCCCCATACGCGTATGAATAATTCAGGAATGGTCGTCCGAAACGTCAGAAGGAGTATGAGATTGGTGCAGGGACCACGACAAAGACATACCAAGATTCTGTATTCCTCGAGCGAAACAAGGTCCAGTTGCGTGTTTTTAAGGTGGTTCCGCGTAGGAGCGCACGACCTCTCTTAAGCATTCGCCTCTCTATTTCGCGCTAACGGTACCAACATCGTGATCCTCGATTTGTTATCGACACAGACGCGAAAGATCCGTCGTGGTTCTGTTCCTTTGGATTTTCCAACTCAACAGTATGTCGCGTCTACGACGACCAGGTACTTTTAACGAACAGAGAAATCCCGAACGGCCGTGAATTTTCATCGGTGTGTCAGTGACAAATGAAATGCACCTGCAATCGACCCAGTTTTACGACAAATCGATGCGGCCCCAAGCACGATTACTTTACACACTCCTATCGGGAATCGATAAGTACTCGACGGCACGGGTTACGCTGTGTATCTCGTATTTATGTAATATTTCATATCGTTTTACCGCCTGTTTATTCCTTTCAAATAGCCCATATCGAAACTGGGGAATGAACTTTTCATTTAATGATCCAGTAGCTGTGTTTACTTTTTTTTCTGAATGCACCGTTTGCTTTTTGTTCAGGGTATGCGAAAGGCAAAGAGACGTCGACAGAGACCAAGACAGAGGGGAGGACGAGGACGAAGATGCAAATCCATTGGGAAAGTGGCCGCATGCTCTTAGTCCTGCTTTGGCGTGCCTCAGTTGCACCCTTGGTCTCTTTAATATAAGTAGATTCTCTATACTTAGTATACAATTTGGAGGTGAGTTGAATGGTTATACGAAAGTCTAGCGTCGCCAAACGTTCGTGACAAATGAATTAAATATGATCATGCTTTCCTTTCAGCGAATTTCATTGTACAGTTCCTGATTTTGTCTCTGGTACTGGGCATTCCGCTTTTAACGTTGCACGTGTGCCTCGGGCAAAGACTAGCGGCTGGATCCGTGGATATGTGGAAAATCTCGCCCCTTTTTCAGGGTGTTGGTATAGCTCTCCTAACTGCACAAGCGTTTATCGGTATCTACAGTATCGTCGGTGTGTCTTGGATGTTCGTCTACTTCAGGTACAGTTGTTTTCTTTGCGCGATGCTGGCACAAAGAAAGATTCACCAGCTCCGAAAGATAAAACGAACAAACCGTTTTCTCCATATTTTCAGGGATTCGTTCATAACGAAGCAGGACAAGTACCGATGGGCGGAACCATTCTCTTTGTACAGAGAGGATAAACCTGCACAGAATGCCAGCAGCCTATATAAACTGTACGAAACGGTGCCGGATTATTTTAGCGGGGTCGTTTTGCAAAGACATCACTTGAACGAACCGGACCCTGGTGTCGTGACATTGAAATTTCAAGTAGCTTTTAACTTGGCCGTCGTGTGGATGATCGTGTTCGTTTCTTTGAGCAAAGGTACACACGATCGAATCATCTAGTCTGATCGATATTACGTATTTAAGTATGCTTCTCGAATCGGTGTAACAACGTCCACCAACCAACCATTTTCAGGCTTGAGATCTTACGGGAAAGTCGTTTACGTTTTCACGCTGGTGCCCGTGTTCGGTACTTTGGTTCTGTGCACGAAACTGCTTGGTCTCACACCACCGGGCTCTATACACCAGCTGTTCCCCGCCACCGTTGGTACCGAGTTTTTCATTAACGGAAAATCGTGGGTGGCCGCGTCCATCGAGGTTTTCCTCACCTGGGGATTACTCGGTGCGGCCGCGATGCAGGTAATCTACCGTAGAAAGTAACCGTAAACGTACATTTGTATAACGGGGGAAAGCTTACGCGAAGATGATATCGGTCTTTCAGATAGCAGCCCACAACAAGCACAAGCATCTGCTGCAAAGGGACACGAGCCTCGTGATAGTGTTGACGATAGTGGTTCTGCTTCTTGCTGCTTTTCTGGCGAATACTTGCGTGCAGATACTTAAGCATCATGGATTCGTTTACATTCCTAGTTCATTCGGTGAGTGGTTACACGTTCGGCATCCGACACTATTAATTCTCTTTTGGCATTCGATGAGATTATCTACCTGTTGCGTTCCCAAGTAATGATACATTTGAATTTTCGGCGGTTCGTATCGATTCACGCATCCAATATACATGCATTACCGGGCAAAATTACCAACCGATGGGAATCGAATCCAATAATACCGTGCTTCTATTTCAGAAAGAATATCGTCGTATGTGTTTATGAGGCCGGTAAACCAGCCAGCACCGCCTGGATATAGTAGCACGCCGGAAAGATTTATGGCCCACGCATCGTTCATTGTCGGGGAACGCGTGACTCGTCCCGGAGCGGATTTCAGCGTGGAAGCTGGTTATCAAGCATTGAGACTTTCGACCGAATTGGTTCCCGCGACATTGGCACTGTTGGGAACCGAGCAAGTGTCGCCGTTCTGGGCTGTTCTCTTTTACTTTGTCCTGATTCTATTTGGAATAGCTCAACAGGTATGCGATTTTAATTCTTACCAACGTGTATCAGATCAGAGTGAAGAGCGTGTACTTTCTGGTATTGCAGTTGGCGATATGGCACTGCGTGATAACTGGAATCATGGCTATCAATACAAAAATGATGAAGCTGTGGGAAACTACAATCACCTTCTTCAGCTGCGCCTGCGCTTACATACTAGGATTGCCTATGGCTACGGAGGTAAATACAGATATATTTATTTCGCGCTTGGCTACGATTATCTACGAAACCGTTCAGTTGAAACAAAAAAGTCATGGCCACTATCGTCTGAATAAGCTTAACCTAGTACGTACACCCGTACGACTTAAAATAGACCCGTGTCAGCTCTCTCTTATCAGCCAGACCCCGCGATGTTTTATTTACCATGATAACGGTTACTTGTTCGAGGTCTAACTCGATTAAGCTGTTCATCAGTATCGCTAGAGTCATCGTTGCCGTTCCGGAAAATGAGTGATCGCGTCAATTTCGTGGTACGTCGGAGCATACCTTGTTATTTTTGCAACGAGTTTCTGGAAGAGAGATACTTGCCCGATCACGTGAAACATTGCGGATCGGTTTTGGAAGAATGTCCCTACAAGTGTGGTGTTTACGTGCCTCGAAAGAACATGGACGAGCATGGAAGATCGTGCGAGAGAAACGCTTCCAGTAGAAACAGTCGGGTGAAAGAGGTCCAGGATTCTTTATGGAGGAATAAAGTGTTCTCCGCGCTGACGTTGCTCCGTTCCGCGATTCACAACGAAGAAAGGGAACGCAAAGATCTTCAGGAAAAGATGTCTCAGTACGTAAATCTGCTGCACTCGCAGCAACAGACGATCGACGCTTTGCGACTCGAAATCGCTGAAACGCGATACGATGCCGCGTTGAATCAACGTTTAACTGACTTAGAATTAAGTTGCGACAACATGGAGCAACGTACGAGCATCAGTTTTCAACAGATCTCGGAACAGTTGAAGTTGCTGCACGACGAGTTGACCGACGAACAGAATAAGCACGACGAAGTGTTCGCTAATTGGTGTATAGAATTGAAGGATTTGAAGTCTTTTCTGGCACAGGAAAGCGTACAGGTGACCGGAATGTGGCAGGAACAGCAGCAACTGATTCACGATCTTAAGCTGGAACTAGAAATGAGATGCAAAGACACGAAAGAATTGATGGAGCCTCAGAAGCTATTGGCCGAAAGAGTCGATGCTCTGGGGGAAGAAACGCGAAAGCAATCGGTGATCTTGGCCGATCAGAGGAGCAATATAAAGGGGCTGAAATTTCAAATGAAAGAGAATCTAAAATACCTGGAAGAACTGATCGGAGATAGCTCCAGGTTTAACGCGACGGAGATTGTCGAATGTCGATGCGAACACGAATCTCTCGACCGATTTCCAACTAATGGTCGCCTATTATGGAGAATCGATCGTTACAAAGAAAAGATGTCCGAGGCAAAGGAGAATGACTCCGCTCTTTATAGTCCAAGATTTTCCAACAAAGAATACGGATACGCGTTGAGAGTGGAGCTATTTTTAAACGGTGTAGGACAATGGAAGGACCGACACATCATCGGATGTTTACGCGTGGAAAACAGCAAGTGGGACCCGTTGCTGGATTGGCCCTGTGTTCTCAAAGCTACGGTAACATTGAGGAACCAAGAGAACCCCGCCAATGACTTGAAGAAGCTTGTGAAGGCTGTTGGTCATGGTAAAACAAACCCGGAAAACGTCAACAAAGAATCCGGAATTTATATGTTTATCCCGCATACCACGCTGACTCGGTACTCCGGCTATATTAAAGACAACGCGTTATTTCTGGATATCCAAGTGAAGGATATAAAAACGAGTGCTTCTACGCCGTCTCTCATGTCATAAGTAACCGACGGTTGGCTGATAAAAATCGTTAATATAAATGATAATGTAAATATTCGTAACAGATCATTCGAGGTATGAAAAGTGTTCTGTTTCTTAAAGATTCGTATTCTTTTTGTTCGCAGCTGGGTATACACGTGGTATATTATCTGGACTATACGATCGGTGGTTCGTGGTGGATAATGATTCTATACTTGGTGGAAGTCGGTGCTGTATTCGCGGTACGTGGGCGTCCACACAGCGGTGAGGCGGTCGTCGCCGAATTATTTCCACCCACTGGCCGATGTCTCAGGCACTGGGCCGGCCCCCTCTTGTCGTTTACCTGGAACGTCGTGCTGCCTGTTATTCTTATGGTATGTACACGTGATAAAATTTACATACACACACGAAAGCTACGAACAGGTGTCACGTAACAAATGATTTTCGAATAAACAGGTACTTAGTATCACGGTGTTCAAAAACGCCGGGTTTCGAGAGCTCTACTCTTATCGGCGTACTACCAAAGATTACTGGTCGGTCTGGGCAAGGCAGCTAGGAGCTGCTATTCAGCTGATACCGATATTAACGATACCGGCAGTGGCTATTATACAAACCTGCCGCTATTTAAACAACGGACCACCAGATATATTCGACGTAAGCGTCCCAATACATGTAATAAATTCTTATCGGACATTAAAGTAGAGCGTCGATGTTAGTCAACACGGTAACATGTTGAATTACCTACTACATTTCATTCGAATCATATTTTCATTCTTTCTAACGTGCTAACACTCACTGAAACCGAACAACGCCTTTATTCTGTTTGTGCTAACCGTAGAACAATCAAGTGGAAGTTAACGTAAATCACTGCGAGCAGTGTAACGGAGTAAGTTTTGTCGGTTCCATTAACAAACAGATAGACATTAACGAAAGTGCACATTTTTCTCCTTTCTCCTGGATCACCGTAACGGTGTCCTAATAAAATCATAATGTTGCAGAGAATTCAATTGCTGTACCGGCCTTCCCTGGAGCCGGACGATCCGCGAGATGCTCAGACGCACATAGGAAATGACACGAGTACTAGTATTCACGGTAATGGTATCGTACCGGCAACCACGGAAGTACCGTTTGAGGATCCACCACCAAAGTATACGCCGCCTCCGAGTTACACCACCGCGACGGGGGCAAGGATCGCGAAAATGTTGCGACAAAGTTTTCGGAGAAGCGTGAGACGATTGGCAAACGTGCTTGGGGAGAGTAGCGTGCCCAGACAAAGGCCGGCGCTACAGCCTCCGCCTCCCGATTACGCGACGGTCCTCGTCGAGATGAATCAGGGCAGGCAAACGCAAGATGTTGCAATTCACGTGACCGATGGGAGGACCGAGGTCGGGGACGGTGGCAGTGCGGCCACTGTGATCACTCGGAACAACGTACACGGAAGACATAGGCCTAATACGATCGACAGAACAACGAGGATCGCCGCATCTACGGTTGGATGCACCATCGAGCGGACACACTCGACCTTCGAAAGGACTCGAACACGAACGTCCAACACCGGCTCGTCGAGCAGCTCGAATCTAACCGCGATTGATGTCGCGAATCTACTCCGAAGTAGCATCAGAAGAGGGACTACGCGAACGCAACAGTCTCTGCGTAGAAGCTTCTGCCACGACGAGCCGACGGTTGCGGCCTCCGTCGAGAATCTAGTCGAGGCCGCCGCACCGATCGGCGAAGAATCTTTAGTCCTTCCGAAGGACGTGTCTCTAGTCTCCTCCGACGAACAGAATAATGATTATAGCAACGATAAAAAGACTGCCGTGGAAACGGACGATTCCGTTTCTGTGATATAGACTGTGTCGCCTCTTCAGTTTTATTCGAGGAAAATAAAACCGACCACGGTTGCTCTCGAGAAGTCCTGTTACGCTGCGTCACACACCGATTTCCCTTTTCAAATCTTATCGGAATTTTGGTTCATTAGTCATGTCAAATAGGAATTTCGTTTCGCTAATCTACGTAAGCTGTGTCACGAAATACAAGGACAAATTGTCGATGATGTCATTGATCACGCACGATCGAGCGAGCTATTGATTTTATCTCTTAGACTGAATTCAGTATTTCTTTTCATCTTAATCTTGTCGCGTTCAACAAATAATCGCATAATCTCGATGCTCTATTTATCAGGGTGATTTCGTTATGCGTCAACGGAAGTCAGATAGCGATACAGAGCAAAATGTTCGACGTACTAGTTTCGCGTTCATGGCTGTAAGTTTCGGTGATTTCGCACGATCCCGAGATCCATTAACGTTCAACTCGCTTCGTACCAGTGTATTTTACAACAATTTCAGCATTTATTATCGAGACTGTGCAGATGAAACGTCGATGTAATATACTACTGTAGTCTCCTAGTAGTTTTATTCTAATTAATGTATATAGTTATTTTAACGGATCATCTTACGAGAAATTTGCTTGTTCAGCGTTTCGTTCATTAACATTAATGACCGTTTTATGTTGCAACTGTATAGTCCGTCCAGCGTTTATCGAAAACTACCATATTTCCGGCCAATGCTCGTAAATATTATGATGTTCGTTTATCAGATGGTAAACAGATAAAATATGTATGCTAAACAGTATACGGCAATACTAATAGACGAACTAAAATTCGGCAACAAAAAGCGATGTAAAAAATGTATGATTGTTTACAGAATTATTTAGTTATAGAGTGCCGCAAATATTCTAATTACATTTCGTAAGTGTAACTGCTATACCTGATATTATGGACCATAATAAAGTTTTTATGTTCTTTTGTAAATCTCGACTACTTTCGCTTAAGTCCAGTAAAAAACGATAAGATGGAATTTTTTTTGAAATGTTGATATTATTACGTTTAGCGTTGCATAATTACAGAGGTTACAATTTGTTGGTCAAAGTACAAAGAAACAGTACGGAACATATTTTCTAAATCTTTTTTTTTCCACTAACGCTCGTATAGCACAGTAAGTTTTTTATTAGATGACATTCAAATAATATAAATTCTCCAGTACTTTAGTACTTACATTTAAGCAAACGCAATGTAACTTTGTTACAGAAAGCTTTTCATTTCCGAACGTATACAAAACTAAATAAACTATGTATATTACAACCTCGTTATGAAAACGATGATCCTCGAACAGACGTCTCGCATCTTTCGATTACGGTAATCGTCGAATAGCACAGTTCTCTTCATTGCACGTTTGCAGAGTATGCAGAAGAAAAACCTCTTGATGCGTTAAATAATTTTCTTATTTGTTACGTCAGGTATAATGGGCAAACATTTATCTGTCAGCAATCGAATGCGCAGTTACGTGAACATCTACGGTATTATTCTAATTAAGTGAAATTCAGCGAACTTAAAATCGTTAAAACATAAATAATAATAATAAAACGGACAGATAAATAAATATCTCCATGAAGTCTTACGCTACGTATGGAGAGCAACAGCACTGAGAAGACCATTTGCCCATTCCTGAACTACATTAGACAATTAAATCGTTGCAAATTAACTTTATCGATACGTTAGTCATTAAATATCTCATTTCTTTCAATACACATTTATTCATTCGAAAGACTCGCTCTCGAAATGATTAGCTAGTTTAGAAGGTATTAATTCAAAGCGGTAGATGTAAGAACAGCGACTCCTCTCTCGTAAAAACTGTGAGGATCTTGACTAGGAGCAATATTTAAATCGACAGTAAAGAGTAATTCAGTGCGCGTGCTGTTCAGATAAACCGGCAAAGACAGTTTTCCTTTTCGGACTTCATCGGTGGAGGATCTTATCCACCTCAACATAGTAACGGGTAAGTCGATCATAATAGTTGAAGTCAGGTACAACTGATTATCTTTGCACTGTGCTCCTTGCAGCTTCAAACCGGTCACAGCGAACGAACAGTCGTCAGTCGCAATATTGTCACCGTCCCCTATAGTCACGTCTAATTGAAGCTCCTCGAGGGACCAACTGTTCGCCTGTGCTATGCACTGTCTCGTTGCCGTTATGTACGCCTCTGGATTCAACAATCCACCAAGCCAAACGGGGAAACTCTGAAAAGTACAAGATTATAGCGAGTGAAGAATTAGTAATTACGGAAAACATATCAACTAAGCAAACCTTGATTTCTTTAGCCCCTCCTTGAGATACCAGCCGTGAAACTTCTTGTAACTGTGACACCCTGTGACTGAAGTCAGTAATCCACTGTATAACGGTACATCCTCTTGGTACAGTGTATCGTCTCCATCCGCCAGGTAAAATGCCTTTCACCAATTCTGACAGCATTGTTCTATGATAATTGGTTTGCTTTTTCTTGCCCTGCGTATGCAAAAGAGAACACATATTGTTAGAAACTCTGTTAATTCGAATAACAGTAAAAACTATATTAATTGAATACCTGACAAATTAAAACTACATCTTCCAAATCGTGAATCACATCTTGAAGCAATTTGGCACCACTATTAACTTCTCTCTCAAAGTATCTGTAAAGCGGGTCCTTGATATTTTCCACGGTTCTCTTCAGAGTCAGCAAGTTCTTTGGAAGTAACTGTAACCACGTCGACGCTGAATTGTGCAACGTTCTCATCCAGGATGGTCGACCGTCGGCTTCAGCCTCTCTAGGCGTATCCAATGATTCCTCGTTAGAGTACGCCAATTCGTCTTCGTCCTCCAGTTGCTGCATCTTCAATAATTTCGACACCAAATCCGTTCCTCTGGTTGTGAGTAGTACTTTTTCCGCGTTGTTCGGCAATCCAAGCCAAGACGGTGTTTGTCTATCGGAGAGAGACTCGATCCATTTGAGGAAATGATCGCGTCTTGTACCATCGGGCATGGTAATGTGTCTCTGAACTCCTTGTAAGCCATCGACATTGGCAACCAGCGCAAAATCGGTTTCGAAAGACCTTGGAGTAAACAGTTTTCGAAGGAAGGATGCCAGTAAACGTTGATCGAAGTCGTTGTCTATTTTACCACCGTATATGCATTGAGAAAGCAACGTCACCAATGCATCCCAAGGTACCTTCTCCGGAGGCAGATTAGTTCTACCCATAGCGGTCGTCTCTATCCACGTGTCAAGAGTGTCACAGGCTACTCTCAGGTCGCTTTCATTGAACTCGTAATGCTTGGCCCATCCCAATGGCGCGTAACGAAGACGTTCCTGAACGATCGCATGGAACCATGCAAGCAGGAAGTACAAGCGGGCTCTTTCATTGGGTGCCTTCATCATTCTTGACGCAGGTACAGTGCTAAATGTTCGCAATAGGTTTGCTCTGATACCAGGTGGTGGCTCGAAGACAAATATTCTACCAGCTCTTAGGAGATTCACGGGTACCTTTGGATTGATTTCCATAGTCAAGAAAAGTCTGAAGTTAGTGTGCGGTTGCAGGCTATGTAATTTCTTTTCGAGTTGTACCAACCATTGCGGTGCCAAATGAACGTTTTTCAACATTACCCATCTGCCTGCTTTAACAGCCATGTTTATTGCCCTATCGGCTTGATTGAATCCTTCCGAGGATCCTATCGCAATACTGACTATTTGTTTACCCAATTCAGCAGCCAGATCGTCGACCCTGCCAGAGGCATCAAAACCAGGCACAGAACAAAGCAAGGCGGGCACGGCAGCTTTCAGCTCGTTCTCGACTACAGATGTAAAGTCGAGTTCTGCTTCTGCAGCAGCCATAAAGGATTCACCTAAGGCGCAAGTAACAACCAAAGTCGCAGCGGCTATCACGCGATCCGGTCGAAACGCTTGGATTACCAACAACTGGTGCATGGCCGTACCCGTCGGTGTCAACGGTTTTTCTTCGTCCCAAAGCTTTGGCACACAAGTTTCCGGAGTTGGCGATTGCAGCCACGAGTTGAACTCTGCGTTTTCTTGAACCTTTTCGGACAATTTCTTGAAAGCCGGCAGCCTAAGACTCAAGCGCAACATAGCCTCTTGTTGTTCGGAACTGACGTTGGGAGCAAGAGGTCCTCTAATATTCAGAACACCTTCCTTGCCACGCAAGAAGAATGTAAATTCACTGTCGTACGTGGACTCCGTGGCGATTCCCTTCAAGTGTATTTTACACAGCAGCAACGCGAAAGTTAATCTATCCGTGTGCAACATTCCACGAGCAACTCGTTCGTAACAAGCAGAGAACAAATCGCTGGTGATTACAGACAGTCGCTGCGTGTAATCCGATATATTGTGCAGTCTTGGATTTTGAGATAAAACGGACGTGAAAACGTCCAAAAACATTTTTAGAGAATATTGATACAAGAAGTGCACTTGGTTCAGGCTGTCCATTGTAAAGTACATATTTGAACAGGCTTGAGACAAGGGCATGTATTGTTGAGAGACCGTTTCTATTTCTGCTATCACTTTATCCGTCTCTTCGACCTTCTTGCTAATGTCGGCTGCCTCTTGCTTCAATGTTTCGAGGGTAGTTATCACAGAATCATCGTCGAGAATCTTTCCTTTGGCATCATTCAGTGCTTGCAGTAAAGATTTCTCGAGCTGTCTCAGTCGCAAATGGAATTCGCCCTGTAACTTCAAGAGATCGGATCTTTTCTCGTCGATGTCTGGTCGTTCGGCTTTCAGCACCTGGTTCAAACACTGACTCTGCAAGGAGCTTCTGGTAACGGTGAAGTTGACAAAGGTGACACGAGAGCAAATATCAGGCGGGAATTCAACCGTTGGATCCCTCGTGGACAAAAAGATGACGAAAGACGGCGACAGATCAATGTCCTGATCTCCAAGTGTAATTAATACGCGTCCACCCGTTCTTCTTAATTCTCTGTTCAGAACCGGATTTAATATAGGATCGTAGTTCTCGACGTCTTGTACCAACAAGGGATTACCAAAGCGCAATGCGCTCTCGAGATTCTTCCTAAACGAGTCGTCCAAGAAGCTCGTTTTTGTAATTTTACGATCCTTGAATTCGTTCATTATAAACTCGGTCGCTTGTCCGGATGGATCTATTATCAACGGATACCTATTGAATCGCTTCAACATAATAGCATTTTCCGTGCAAAGATCATCCGTGGGTAGAGCATTGGCTTGCCATCTCAACCGCTCATCGGGATTCGACAAATATTCAGTTCTCGCAATGTCTGGTCGGAATTGCAAATTCGCCAATTGTAGATGTTGACACCAGGTACTGAACAGATTTTGTCGGTACTGTAAAAAAACAAACAAAAACAAATGAATACACGATGTAAAGAAAAATATACTACGTAATTATTGCGGAACGCTTACATGTTGATCGAAATATCCTGCGTAAGCCAGGAAAGCGGACGACAAGAGAACGTCTCCGATAATAGTAGACATCTGGCTCTTGAATGTTTCACTAGTCGCTTCCCACCGTTCCCTTTCGATCACCAAGGATTTCAGTAAAGCAATAGAACGATCCACTTTGGCCTGTACACTCTCCAAGTCAGCTTTGATAGCTTGCGCTTGAGAAATTAACTGAGCATATTCCTCTTTGTACGAGGCTATACTCTGTTCTAGTTGTGCAATTAAATTCTTCACTTCTTCGCCCTTCTGCATGTTCGTTTCAGCCTGTCGTTCCAAAGAATGAAGCTCATCCCTTAGAGGCTCTACGCGTTTCAACATATCCGCGTATTCGATCTGAAATTTGGTAAAATTACACAGTTAACAATATTTACTTTATTTTCGAGATAAAAGACATCCTACACTGTTTTAGAAAATAATTACTTGTGCGGTAGCCCATTTGACAAGAGGCCCACAAGCCAAGCTGGCTCGATTAACTTTTTCAAAGTTATAATCTGGATTGCTCAAGTAACGACTCTTCATCTTTTCTCTCACTTCGTCCCTGCGAATACGTAATTGAGAATAAGCATTCGATCACCTTTTACTTCAACTGTAACTTAAATATACTTGGTTCACGAACGAAAACCCAGAGTTTTAAATAATATTTTAGTTACTGTATTACACACGTAACTTCGGTTAGTAACAAGTTTGACAACGGTCGTTCGCGTCATGCTTTAAGTAGTAATTGTGCTTTGTGAATTTTGTCAAATGTTTTTTTTTCTTCTTTTTAGATCTGAGACCAGCAAGCACAGGGATTAGTTGTACATACATACATACATACAACGCGTATATTAGTACTACATTTCAGTTCGAGGCGTACATAATTTCTTCTTCTTTAAAATGAAACATCTGGAAAACGGTCGCATCAACGAAACAGTGTTCGCTGATCCCTCGCGGTCAAGGAATTCGATCGTTCGTCAAGGAAAAAGAACATTGAATGCATGCTTACGTAATATCCTCGGTACTGAAATTAGAGACAATAGTATTGATAAAATTGTCCCTCATGATGACAGCGCGGATAGATTTCCAGTCACTGGCATTTTCACCGAGCAATAAGCAGATAGACTCCAACGCGACCTTCACGATCGCCGGCGGATTCGCCATAGACCGAACTTCGACTAAATGTTGTTTCTTTATCGATTTCACCGCTATACGAAAAAAAAACGAAAGGAGTTTCATATAATACAGTGGTAAATAACGAGTGCAGGCATGGTGCAATTAGATAAGTTACGGTAAATAAAGTTATGCGAGAAACAAGCTGCGGCAGGCTGCGCATCAGTATGGTTGTCCTAGAAAGTTAGCTATCAGAAAAAAAAACATGTAACGAATATCATATTTACACAGTAGTACATACAAATATTCGCGTATCGCGTCACGTTCTTATAATTGTCTCTGAATGGAGAAAAAGATAGCAAATCTCGTGGTAGCTTCGATTCTTTTTTTTTTTTTCGTGTAACAGCTAAAGAGAATGTTCGTTGCGTTTATAAGAACTCGCATATACGCGAATAACTATGTGGTGTACACAGCCAAAAGATATAACATATATGTTAAGCGGTTATTGATTCGTTTCTGCCTCGGTAAGTTCCCAATTGTGAGAGTCGGACATTCAACAGACCCTAGATAACTATATCCTTACGTGAGGTCCACTGTGTTAAAGTTGACAATGGTCGGTATGAAGCTATCCTTCATAATGACAGCGCGAATCTGTTTCCAATCGGTAGCATTCTCTTCGAGCAACAGGCATATAGACTCTAAAGCCAGCTTTACGATGCTGGGCGGATTTGCCATCGATCGAATTTCGACTAGATACTGCCGCTTAATCCCCTTGACAGCTACACTCATCATAAATGTTTCAACGCAACGTACCACGTATATATGTGTGTGTGTGTGTGTGTGTGTGTGCGTGTGTGTCAGTGCGTTCAGAATGTGAAGAGTGAGCAACAATTGCAATTATTTAAAAAGACAGTAAATCTTTCTGTAAACGTGACAGAAATGATAACTATTAAAATGCAAATAATACCCACCATTTTGAGCGTCGACGACAGCTGGTTCGACTTGTGCTAGATCTGCCACAACATCATCTCTCTTTTGATTAATAGCCACTGTTTGTATAGCCAACTGTTGTTGAATTTCCTGGCTCTGTACTTTCTTCTTTTCCGCCTCTTGCTGATCCTTGACCATTTGCCGCAATTTCGCGTTGGCAGCTTCGTTCTTCGCGTGCAGTTCCTACACACGAAAATCCATGAAAGAAATCATTTTCGTACAGAATGCAGAAGAACTGTACTCCCCCGCGGAGTGAACATCCTACCTGAGATTTAATAGCCAAACTCTTCTGCATTTCTTCCACCTGTTCCACCGTTTCCGCGATTTTACTTAACCCAACATTCAAATGCAACTGTTGTTCCTCCAGGTCACTTCTCTTCTCCTGATACAGTTTCACGAAATGATTGATGAAGTCCAAGTAATGACGAGGTGTAATCGCCATGGTTCTACTGCCTCGTTTCGCAAGTCTTGCATTGGCTTTGTGCAACGTTTGGTGCACGTAAACGCACGCATTAATGACAGCGTCTCTGTGCGTGGGTTGCGACGGAATTAAAGAGCACACGGATGGGAAGAAATCTGGGCACTTCCAGGCAGGTCTTTCCAAATCCACGCGGCTGGTAAATTCTTTGCCTACTTGGAAGAGCGCATCATCGGACCAATCGCCGAACCAATTCAACACGCATCTGTTGAACAAAGCGGGTGACGTTGCGGCTCGATCTTTAAGACCGTCTGTACTTGGATTCATGGTGAACACCACGTGTAGGTTTCGCATAACTTGACCGGTAAACCATTTGTATAACTCTTCGTTAGAGTCCAACATAAGTCCCTCGCGCTGTGCTCCTTCCTTGCACTGCGTCATAAGCGTTGTGTATTCGTCACCTTCGAACAGACCTGGCACCTCTCCGTTCGCAAGTAACGTATTCATTCGCTCGAGGAATCCAGAATCCAACACGTTCGATTCATCAAGAATGAATGCTATTTTCTCGTCCTTACAACCGGAACGTCTCAGTACTTGACGCAGATCTTCATCGAAGTCTTCTCCAGTGTACTTATTGTGTACCTTTTGAAAACGAGGGAATAAATCAGTAATATTAATCAAACGTGTGGATAAATCCAGAACATTGTTAATATTCGAATTCGTACCTTTATTTGGAATATAGATAAACCATTCATCCACGCTACGAACCTAGACAGAGTCGTCTTACCAGCGCCAGAGACACCAATGAGCAACAAATGTCCCTGAGGCTGTCGGAAGATTCTGTCGATCCGCAGAACGTGTTCTAGAACTTCATCGAACAGTACCAAAGGTACGTCCAATTCTTCTTCGTAGAACACTTTCAATCTTGCCCGAACGTAGTCTCGTAACTCCTGTCTATTAACTGGCACGTAGTCCTTTGATAGCCAATTGCTATATAAAATGGGCCTGGCTAACGCTCTCTCCTTATCGACACCCATAAAGTGTTTCATAGCTACAGTATCTATATTCTTGTTGGTCCAGGCTCTCTCGGAATCTTCTACAAGTCTGTCTTGGAAAAGACGAAGAGCTTCGTGTGCCCACAAACGTACAAGACCTTCAACCGACAGATTATCGAGAGGTCTAATGGCTTCGCAGATACCGCGCACCCATCTAGTCATCTCACGCGGAGAGTAAACGTAATGCGGTTGCATATCTTGAGTAAATCTTTCTTGCGAAGAGAGATAGAACTCTACCATTGCATTCGTTAAGGGTTCTGCGTAGCCCCTCAGCGAAGGTGTTAACCTGAAACATCATGATGAGAGACAAAGTTATCTTTATGTCGAATAGGCTGAAGTTATCAAACAGGAAGAGTTGCCCTCACCTAAGCATGGCACGAGTAAATGTACCATAAATTTGTTTCAAGGAGGTCTCTCCTGGATAGTCGACGTAAATAACTGGAACGTGTCGTAAGAATCTATGACTAAGAGGCTTTCTACCTGGATCTGTCGGAGGATTGCAAGCGCCAACGAACTGAATTCTTTCTAAAGTAACCCAAGCCTGATCGCTAGTTCGATAGAAGCCTCTGTGCTCTACCAATTGTCTGAGAAACGAGATTACGCGTTGCGTCCCGTAATTGTCCATATCTGGTAAATTGATTTCATCGCAAAACAGAACCAGCCACTTGCCCAGTTGTACAGGAGAAAGTACAACGCCATTGGGAGTTTTACGATACTCGCAGTAATGATCAAATGTCTTTAGTAAAAGTTCGGGAGTGGTAGCCGATGAAAAGTTCAGACCAACAACTTCCATATCGGGCAAGGCTCGCAAGGCAGAGAAAAGAGTCATAGTTTTACCAGAACCAGGTGGTCCACAAAGCACTGTAAAGGAAAACGTTTACATACAATACTCTGTTACATATTTTCGATAGACTTCGATAATAATATCTGCAAGGTTAGTGTATTTTACCGATTGGTTTGTGCTCTGCCAACCACGTATAAAGTAGACTTTCGTGCCTTACGGTATCCAATGTCGGTACAACAATATCCGGACTAGCGACCTTGTGTGTTTCCACTTCGATCTGCGGAACCTTGTTGCTCCATGGCAACCATTCACCGTGGATGCTTACTTCGAAGTCTATGATAGGAATGTTACTTTGCGTTGGCAGGGGTATAGTCGTGATAGACCTAACGAAGTCTCCCAAGTCAGACCTAACTTTTAGTTTGGCATCGCCCGCGAAGCTCCACAGTAAAGCGTATACCAAGCACTTTGGCATGTAACGTTCTAGTTGTTCGCTAGGCAAAGGAAAATCTGTATGCGAATGATTATATTGCAGAACATTGCGCACTGACTGATTCAACATGGAAAATAATGAGCTTAACGCTCGCAAACGCGTGAAATCCATTATGTGTTCTTGTTTCATGGCGTACTCTAAGCATCTCACTACCAATCCATCCGGAGCAAAGTAACTCTGCAAGATACTGGCAACTTCCCTTTGCACGGTCAACGCAGGGGATACAGTGTCATCTTTCTCTGTTGCCTTTTTGCTGAGATTATCCTCTTCTCCGTCCTCAAGCGGAATGTTTCTTACGCGTAGCATGTAATTCTCAAATATCATTTCTGTGGAAAGTACATCTTCGGAGAACCAAACCATACCGCAACGAGAGACAGTGGCCAATGTGGCATATTTCAGATCTTGAACCTCGAACATAACTCTCACGTTTGGTGGCAGACTGAGACGTTCGCCATTCGGCAGCGTAAGCAATTTATTGTCGTCCAACACGGAATTGAGATTTTCAACCCATTCCGGATCAACATCGCCGTCGAATATGATCCACTGTCGTTTGTTTATTTCTCCTCTGACGTTATCAATGATCTTTCTGAGAATGTGCGTAAACAGGCCGTCTGTCCATTCACGTGTATTCGGGTCTAACACGCCGTACAATGTTTCTTTGCTAATCGCTTTCGGATCTATCACGTGTGCAACGCCTTCTATTCCTTCGAATCTTTCCAAAGCTTTCAAGAGTACCTTCCAAGCCATCGTTTTTCCAGAACCACTTGGTCCGACCATCATGAGACCATGATTCAGATTGCAGATTTGATAAAGTTGGAGTACCTAAATAAACATACTATTAGTCTCGAGAAAGCCCACGAATGAAAACAATGAGAATCATGCGAATTTATAAGGTAGGATGATTTACGAAATAGGATCTATTAAATTGAACGATACCAATCGTGCAAAACTAATCACAATTCACTTTCTCTCACCTTTCCTAGCCATGTCCCACGAACTACATCCTGAGAGTGCGTATAATAAATAGTTTAATGGTTAGGAAAACATTATCTGTGTCATATTACAATTTTTTTTACAGAAAAAAAGAAAAACAAATTGTAGCCAAATTGCTTTCCCTTGTTCGTTCTACTAGTTTCATGCGGTTATTTCCAGCAATGAAGGAGATGGTAGTGCAAGTAATGATTATTTACAGTGGCTTAAATTGTAATACACGATTACCTTTTCTTGCCATACACCTCCTTGTTCGTCGCCTTCACCGCATACAAGATACTCCTCCATGCACACCTTTCTGATTTGATCTTTCAATCCTACGGGCGTAGATTTGATTCATAAGAAATATGTAGATGCTAGGAGATCACAACATACTTTAAACAATCACCTTTCATTTCAGCTCGTGTGTAATTTACATTCGGGAATACATCGTTCAATAAACTGAAAAGCAACGGAATATCTTCGGCAACTAACTTCGGTACCATCGTTTCACAAACAGATTGAATGAGAATTTCTTGCTCCGGCAAATTTTCAGCGATCGAGGCCTCGTCGATATTAGTTTCGCCGCGATTCTGCATGCCTTCTTTGATCTTTTGTATGCGATCGCGTTTAACGTTACCGGCGGAAATCAGTACGGATTTGAGCGCTCGAAGACCGAAATCATAATGAGATTGGTCTGAAAGTTGTTCGTCGCACAGCCTGTAAAAATAGTACGTACAATATGGGAAAACATGTACTTAAAAACTTAAGACATCCTGATAACTTACTTGAAGAACGGCACGATCTTGCACGCCAGCTTCTCAGCCGATCTAAATCCTTGGCTGAAAAGCATCACTTCGGCTATTAGCTGTCTGTCGGGCGTAGTCATGGCCAAAGATCTGAACAATTTCTTCAAGTTGTCGGGAAGATTTGATCGTCCAGCATAGCCAGGATTCATTGTGATGAAGATCGCCATGTCCGTAGATACTTTCACTTGTTTGCCGACCAGTTCCACGCAGAGGGTTCCTCCTTCTTTTTTCCCTTCCATCTGACTCTTCAAAGCTTCCTGGATAGTTTGTACTTGTTGAGAAACAGCCGAAAGCATACGCTCTTCTAAACGATTGAATTCATCGAAGCAACCCCATGCTCCGACTTGGCACAGACCAACAAAAATACGACCCATAGCCTACGAAAAGAAATATGAAATGTTATTCGATATACCACCACGCGAACGGCATCGGCTACCATACCGGAATGTATCTGTTTTTTGTTACCTGAAAATCGAACGTTTCATCGCAATTGAATACCAAAACGAATCTTCCAAGTTGATGGCCCAATGCTTTAACCGATTCAGTCTTTCCTGTTCCAGCTGGACCAAATGGAGAACCTCCGAGGCGAGCTTCTAAAGCCTGAGTCATGGTCAAGTAACACCTATCCGTTAGGGGGGTTTGTACCAATCTATCCTGCACTCCCAAATACTCGAATCCATAGAAAAACTTAGCGTTTGCCATGTGTATCGTAAGTTGTTGTAAAACTTCGGTTTGCCTCGGATCAAAATAGAATCTCATCTCGCATAGCCATTCGAACGCTTTTGGATTCGAGACTTTGTTCGCGATCAGCCTCCTCGTTACTGTGCGTTTATGTACAAATTCGTTGATCAAATGTTCGAGTTTTTTCCGTCTCAACGAAGGTTGTTCTTGAAGAACCGAGTCCGCCAAGACATTTAAGGTACCCTCGACTTGAAGCAATACTCTTTCCAACGAATTTTTACTTGGATCGCTTTGTGCTTCGTGCAGAGCCGCTTCGACGTCCTCCGACCATAAAATCTGAGCGGCCAAAACTATAATTTGTGCTTGATAATTATCGCACCATGTCATGAACGCTTGTGCATTGATATTACCGTCTTTGAATTGTTTAATATCTTGCACTGCCCTCGCCAGACTCGATGCCAATGTGACTCTCATTTCTTTTTCTACGAGAGTCAACCATTCATTGATTTTAGGGTAATCAACGGTAGAGACTGGAGTCTGAAATAGCACTTCTTCCCCTTCTCGAGATGCTATACCCGTAATGACAGTATTATCCTCATTTAAAAGAATAGCCGCCACACCGGCAAACATCTTTTTAAAATGCTTCTGTAATCTTGCAATGTTTTTGCTGTTACCAATAATTTCCAGCAAATCTTCGTCACCCACGAAGTAAAATCGAGGGAACGACGTACGTTCTCTTTCGAGATACTCTCCCAAAGCTTTCTGAATTTTTCCAAGCAGATCAGCTAATCTTTCAAGCGCTCTTTGGACACCGGGAATATTTAGGACGTCCATGACCATAGGAGATTTCGATACTTTCTTCATCAAACCAAGAAACTCAGAGCTAATGCTCTGAAATCGAGAGGTTTCAACGGGCAAAAGAGTTTTAATATCGGCGCTGCCCGAGAAAATGCCTTCCAAATAAACCCAGCGTCTCTGAACGTCTATCCACACGTCGAACAACGCGTTGATCCTATTCAATTTTTCTTCCCAAGTCAGTGCTTCTTCCTCAAATACCTTGTAGTAAGGTGATAGTTTCATTGCTGCTACAGAGTTGATGTGTTCTTTAACTTTATTGAAGAGATCATCCCAACCGCGAATTAATTTACATTTACTCTGATAATTTATTAAATCCAATTCGTAGGTCTGCCAGGATTCGCGGACTTGTTTCAAAAATTCTTCTAGCGCCATTTCACCCTGCGCAACAAGGATAATGTCTTTCACTATACTTTCGTTTTTCTGAAGGTTCACGTCCCACACTTGACCGAGAGTGAGTTCGCTCAACACCCAGTTAACTCGAAGCTGTTTTGTCAACTGTTTCCAGTGTCTCTCTTTCAGAGCGTCTGATTTTAATTCAACAATTAACATGTTAACCTTCGTGTAACTCTGCAACATTTTCTTAACGTATTCATAGGAAGAGTACTGCCTAAGTCTGGCTGGCAGCTCCTTTAATTGTGCCATCATTGTGTCCAGCTGTTGCCGCAATTTCCTCGGCTGTACAGAGAGCCAAGGCTTTTCTCTGGTTTCGTCAATCTGAGCCCATATCTTCGACAATTCCGACCAAACACCCCTTAAGTCTTGAAGTTCTTCGAACACAACTTGCATTCTGTCTTCACTGGTGGAAACACCGCCTGGTTCTTGCAGTTCTAAAGCTTCTTTAGCCTTTGCTACGTTGTCTCTCTCTTCTTTCAATCTAGCAAATTTACTTTCAAACAACTGCAATTGTTGTAGCGCATCGTCTGGCCGCAGATGACCCTCAACCGGTTTGCCTCTTTCCCAATCACTCAGGAAATCGGTGGTTCTTATTTCAACAGCCTTGTCTTCAGCGACAATCTTCATCTGTAAAGACGCTACTTGCGTTTGTATACTTGTGTCCTTTCTCTTGAGTATCTCATTAAACGCACCCCATTCACCTTCGATGTTGTCTACATGCAGCCACGAAGACGGGAATTGGAATCGTTGACGCTCCAATATTCTCTGACCCTCACGATATATATCCACTTGCTTCTCCCAAGCTTTCATTTTACGTTTCAGAGATTGGACGTATGTTATTAGTCCAACCGCGTCTGAAGTACTAGCAGCTTCAATGGACTGCTGCTCTAAATCGCTTCTAGATTTCGATACTTGCGAGTGGAAACTTGCCATTTCATTGCCAAGAAGAGTTCCGAATTTACCAAGTGTTTCTTTGTGCCACGAATCGTATTTCAACGACACTTTGCTTTGCACTTTTGCATAATCGATTACAACAGGACCAAATTCCCGTCTAGTGTCCGACGTATCGAATGTAGTTCTAGTCTTTTTGATGTCGTTTAGACATTTCATCCATAGATTTATGTTTTCACCCAATTTTCCATACAAATTATCTGGCTGCAAATCCCACAGGGCCTGATAACGTAACCACTGATCCACATAATCAGCAACATCTTTCATTTTGGATTCTACTGCTTCGTAAGCCGCTTCCAGAGGTTGTTTTCCAGTGGGTAATTTTGTAAGTAAATTCCTGTAGGTACCTGACTCAGGTTTGTCCAATCCAACCTGATATCTTGAACTTTGAAGTCGAACTTGTGAGGTGACTATAGCTTGCCATGCAAATAGTTGTTGCATTATCTGGAACCTCGCGTCTTCGATGCTCGGATATAAGTACATTGTCTGATTTGTTATACGAACTTCGTGAATTTGATTCTGAATCTTTGGATCGCCACCGGGTTTATGAGTGGGTTGAGAAGGTGCATCTGTGTCCATACTTAAATCCACTTCCTTCTTTTGACCGGTAAGCGCATCGGTCCATGCTTTTATACCAGCTTCCAATCTGGCAGCTAAATTCTTTTCTACCTCCTCGTCAAGTCTAGACACCCAAATGTTCAAATTCGAATAATTTTTTAGGGACAATTCATCCACTGCCTTCTGAATTTTCGAGAGTATATCGGCAAACGTATTTGCCGAATACGGACATGTTTCAAGAGATCGAACATCAACATCCAGCTGTTCTTCAACCACTACAAGATCTTCCACTTTTTCTTGAAATGAAACTACAGCATCGGAAAGACGTTGTACATACTGATCCAATTTGTAACTTTCCCAAATAAGGCCGATTCCCTAAATTTAAAATATCAATATATATATGTATATAAATAAATATAATTTTATAGTCTGGTAAGTGATCAGAGATAAAAACTTACTTCGGAAATAAGAGACAAGACGTCGTTGCGCATTCCAGCAACTAGCGGTACGATACTGGCTTTATCTTCGATCTAAAGAGAAATACAAATTATAGAATAAAACTTGCAAAAATTATATTGTAATAAGTATACAGTTTTACAACATAAATTGCAATTCATCATTCAATGATGTACATACAAAAGATGCAAACAAAAGTTTTACATGTTCATAGCCAATGCTAAAAAACTGTATGGTAATTCTTATTTGCGTCGTAAAAGTATTACAGAAACAGATTCATACAAGATGTCACCATATCGATTACAAGCAACTCCCGGAATGTGCGGATAGTCAAACTTTTTGAATTAATGACAACTGATCAATGTAAGTATAATCTGGAGTGGGAAATAAATTGTAGGGTCTTCTCAAGATATCTGTGAGACAAGTGAATCAAAATTAATGAAATTAGAAATCTAAAAGCTTTCAGATACATTAAACAAATAAATCCTTATACTTTGAAAATACAAAAGAACCGAATCTTTCTCGCACATCCTTACGATTTACCTACTCATTCTTCAGACAAATATATACTAATTTCTGTAAATTATCCATTGTACTAGAACAAAATCATCTTGCAGTATACACATTTTTCTACAAGAGCTAAGCAGGCATACAGTAATTTGCATATGTAGGCAAGATGCATAATTCCTGAAAGCATCATACAATGACTACCTTCAGTGCGGGACAGTGGGGACTCCGATTGGCAAGCTAAAAATATTGGAGACCCAAAAAATTAGAAACATCAGTCTAATTGTACACCTTTAACATCAACTAATGTATACCTTTAACGTGGCGCTATTCCCTATTATTTTCTATTGTTTTTACGTATTGTCGAATCTTTAAATCTTCGGTAATATTGTAACAGTGATAGTCATGATGCAAAAACATCCAGAAAAATAAAACTTAGTTGCTATTTCACGACGAAGTCATTTTAAAATTTTACACCAATCTCAGAATTATATAATAAAAAAATAGGTAAATATGACATAATATTACCTTCTCAAGCGTTCTCTCATAAGTCCTGATGCTATCGATCAGGCTGATTGCGAACGGGTACAGCTGATTAGCCTGATGTGCTTTATTTACAATGGGTAAAGGTACACGAAAACCAAGGTTTCTCAAATTTCTTACTTCCTTCGACAATGTAATAATTTCAGGAAGGAAATTTACTTTCAATTTCAATACGTTGCCACGACTCGTACGCGATCGCACATTTTCTATTGCGAATATCCTTCCAGTAACTCCAAGATTTCTTTGCTGCACTTTACGCGCCCAATCATTGAAAATTTCCTTAGTCGAGAGCTTCATACGAAAACTGTCTCCATCCGCTTTCAATTTCTGTCCTTCGATATGACTTTCCCACCCTTTTCCTATAAACGGAGAATGGTTGACAATTTTACGAGAATACATAAAATGACTTCAATAGTTACCTAACACATCTTCGACCCGTTTTAGGTACATCGTAAGTTGATAATCAATTTGTTTAACCCAGATGATGGAGCCGGCGACGGGTGGCAAATCTCTGACTGTACTCATTTTGCAGCATTTGCTTTGTGCATATTGTACCTACATTGGTAACGCAATTATTAGGGAAAATTGATAAGTTAAATATTTCTCATACTCCCAAGTATTATACCTTAAATTTTTCGTGCAAAGCTTCGATATCATCTTTTACTCTTTGTATCAATTGCGTCTGGTATTCTCTAATAGCGCCTCGTATGTGTGGTCTCACGAAAAGCGCATTAAAACGTGAAAAAATTCTAAACATTTCGTTCGCATTCTTTGCAGTACCCAATTGATCTCTGAGATGCGCCGTAATTCTTGCTTCGACTCTTTCAATGCGTTCCTCGTATCTATGAACGGCAGCTTTCCAAGATTCTTGACCCTCTTTGCTAATATCGAGACAATCTATTTCTTTAACATTTTCATATGCCAAATTTACTTCGCTAATAGCGTCTGCATCTGCAGCGTCTAAAGCATACTCAACTTTTACATTGTCGTTATCGGGTGTTTCTAGTGCTGCAGTACTGTGACTCTGAACGGTAGGTCTAAGTACACGAACAATAACTGTCCTGAGTTGTTCATGCTGCAGACGGAAGTGTCGCATATGTTCCATTCTAGTTTCTAACTTCTTATGTGTCGGTGAAACTCTCCATACCATTTTCATGTGTTCGTCACGTTTCTTTTTAACAAGATCTCTTAATAATCCAGTTAACTTCTCATATTCATCATCCCATGTATTGAATACTTCGAAACATTGTCCCATAACTTTTTCAAACTCATCAAATGGAATGTGCATTAATCTTCTTGTTCCTAACACTTTTAGAAGTTGTTGTCCCAGATCCCTGGAGATGGCCTCCACCAACCTTAGTGCTCTCTGCATAGGATATTTTGTACTTCTTATCTTTCGTAAATGAATGAAAATTTGCTGAACACTGGTTCGTATTCTTTCAAGTTCTGTAGCTGATAGTAAATCATTGATTGGAAAGTCTTTCATTAACGGATTATAATCGTTGACAGTAGCCAAAGCTTGTTGTAGGCCAGTATCTGTATCGAAACTAACTGTTGCATGAAATCTTTTTCCATACTTGAGTATGTCTAATGTTAATGAAATTTCTATGCTTTCTCGTTTCTCTTGTATACGATGTAATGCCCTTTCCAAATTTAACCAGAAAGAAATCTCTTGAAGAGCTGTACCTGATTCTGGGTCACGATTCAGTTTAGTAACCTGGAAGAAAATTAATGCTTATGATATACCATGGGATACATAAATATGAAGAATACAAATCATTTACCTTTTGAATCTCCTTTATCCATCTATTGACACCATTTTGTAATTGGTTCAAAAATGTTGAATCTTCAACTTTATCACCAAAATCTGCAACTTTTGGCTTACGATTTTCTTCTATGCACTGTTTAATTACTTGTGCAACAACTGCATGAATTTGTAATGAAATTTCAGGGATATCTATATTTTGCTGTAAATGCAGTAAACCCATTTCTAATTCTGCTATTTTCTTTTCAACTGTTGGGGCCATTTTATCTCCATCTCTGTCTGCACGGCCAGTCTCTTTCACATAACTCTTAAAATATGGAGCCATAGTTTTGCTTATAGCATGCAATGTTTCATAAGGTGGCCCATCCGAAAAGGTAACTAATCGCAGTTGAGAATGAATGGACTTATCAGCTTCAACTATTGTTCCCCGTTTTGTTAAAACTAAGGAGGCCATTTTAGGACTAGTAAAATGTATTTCATTTGATATATAGAAAACAGAATTTTCTCTATCTTCTTCCCCTTCATTGCTGTCTTCCTCTAAAAATGATAAATTAAAACATAACGCTTGGTATGAATAGAAATGATTATGTCTTGATATTTCGAAAAATGTTAAATGTATTAACTAGAATGATTGCAATCAATATTACTATAAAAACTGTACAACAAATGGCAGGTATAAAATGCATACTATTATTGAAGACAGGTATTTCTTTAAATAGTTTTAATGTAAAAAAAAAGTTTGATGTTGTAAAGAAATAGAAAAATCAAAATATAACACGCAACGTTGCGCACCGGCATATTTTCGCGATAAGTTGCATCGACGTGTATACGTACAAACGAAAAATAGGGTTGAAAACAATGTAATGCTTCCATTACGTGTATCGATCACATCAAGGTATGAGTCATATTCGAGAAGAATGTAAATGCATCGAACAGCAAGTAGCACATTAATTTTCAGTGTACGTTTCCGTTGTCGCGGTTTGATGTACCGTTGTATCGAAAGACCGCAATGGAGGATTCGCGAGAGGGCAGAGTGCAAAATGTACAACGACGAAATGGTTGACGATTTAATGAGAATTATCGACTCACATACCTTTAGTGGAATTTCTTTGTATGTAGAGCGCCCACACCTGAGAATCACTTAAGAATTTTTTAATAGACTCTTGATTGCTCTTGTCTTCGAGGGCAGAATTAAACGCGGGTGGTACCAGTTCTTCGTCAGGTAGAAGAACCATTACAACTTTCTTTAAATAATTGGCGAACTCCCAATATCCTACCACTATAACAATTTGAGACTCCGGGGACGGTTCCCCGGAGCCGTCCAAGGAGTCACCCATCCCGCGGTAATCGGTATCGCAAAATCTTCAAGATCTTGAGCGGGTGATCAGTCGACCCCCGCTCTAGGATGAACTGTCACACCAGCGATGACGATCTGTAGAAGGCATAGACTACACTACAAAAGTGTTACTACTGTTACTAACAAGCTGTAACGATTTTCTAGCAATACCGCCATTTTCTTACTCCCTATCTAATCCATCCTTTTGGCTTATTCTCATGATCACTTTCTTTACGGAGCGTTTGCAACTTTTTTTCGAAATATCATTGCATCTTCTTTTTCAATGTTACAAAACTGTACCACCGATTGAACGTACTTATGAATTTTATACATTCGATTGTAGATTAACTTTTAAGCTTAATTTATAAAAAATAATTGTGACTCCATTATATATTTATCGAAGCATTGTCCGTGCAAGTGAAGATAGATCCCATTATAATACATATGAAATAGACTGTACAATTTTATGGTAGGGCTGATGTCGACATAAGAGAGAGAGAACAACAGCAGGAGTATCTGCCTATCTATCTATCTAATAGGGCTGATGGTAGGGTATTCTCCTATGGTGGTAAGGTATCACCTACATACATACACACATCATACCATACGCCATACGCGTTAAAATGGTATGCGCACGCGTATGGACTATGGAGCAGGGAAAGGGTGGTTGGGAATAGCAGGTGTAGGATTATTGCAGTGATTTTAACACAAATTTTACAACGACAGGAAATACTACAAGAATCAGTAACACTTACAAAACAACAGAATTTCTTGTGTCAACTACTGGATACTACCAGCAACGCATGTAATTACAAGTATATTTATAACAAAAGTGCGTTTTTCACCGGTTCGAACAGCGTAACTGTCTCTCGATCGATCAGCTTGTGCACCTATTCTTCGACGATGGAAGCTTTGATACCCGTAATAAATAAATTGCAAGATGTATTTAATACTGTTGGAGCAGATGCTATACAATTACCACAAATTGTTGTTCTTGGTACACAGGTCAGTTGGTATATTTAAATTGACGATAAAAGGAAGATTCATATAATTCTAGCATGATTAAGATCTCGATTTAAATTGTTTCTCTACCAACAGAAAAAATTGCGCAGTCAAAAATTGTTTATCTAAAATTTATATATTATACTAAAATGCAATATAAAATACAAGTAATAATTTTCATTTTAGAGTTCTGGAAAGTCATCTGTAATTGAAAGTTTGGTTGGTCGGTCTTTTTTACCAAGAGGTATTGGAATAGTTACACGACGTCCATTGGTGTTACAACTTGTTTATACACCAAAAGATGATCGTGAACATAGGACTGCAGAGAATGGAACGTTGAATTTAGATGAGTGGGGAATATTTTTACATTGCAAGAATAAAGTTTATACAGATTTTGATGACATAAGAAACGAAATTGAAGCTGAAACAAATCGCATGGCTGGATCTAACAAAGGGATTTGTCCAGAACCAATTAATTTGAAAATATTTTCAGAATCAGTTGTTAATTTAACACTTATAGATCTTCCTGGTATTACAAAGGTACCAGTTGGTGACCAACCTGAAGATATTGAAAGCCAAATACGTCAACTTGTACTGAAGTATATATGCAATCCTAATTCTATTATATTAGCTGTGGTCACTGCCAATACTGATATGGCTACTAGTGAAAGTTTGAAACTGAGCAAAGATGTAGATCCACATGGAAGACGTACTTTAGCAGTTGTTACTAAATTAGATCTTATGGATGCTGGTAATTTTATTATTTCAAATTCTCAGTTTATTGCAATGAATTAAGATATTACATTCTACACTCTTTTAGGAACTGACGCTATAGACATATTATGTGGCAGGGTAATTCCTGTGAAATTAGGTATTATAGGCGTAGTTAATCGTTCTCAACAAGATATAATGAACAACAAAAGTATTCAAGATGCATTGAAAGATGAGGCTGCATTTTTACAGCGCAAGTATCCTACATTGGCAAATAGAAATGGCACCCCTTATTTAGCCAAAACATTAAACCGTTTGCTCATGCATCATATTCGGGATTGCCTTCCAGAATTAAAGGTAACAACAATTCTTATGAAGTAATAAGCTGTTGCAATCTATAGTTAGAAAAAACTAAAATGAACATAATTTGGTAGAACTTATATTTTTTAAAAACAGACAAGAGTAAATGTGATGGTCTCGCAATTTCAAACCCTACTTAACTCGTATGGGGAAGATGTGGGCGATAAAAGTCAAACATTACTTCAAATCATTACCAAATTTGCGAGTAGTTATTGCTCTACGATAGAAGGAACAGCCAGAAACATAGAGACAACGGAATTGTGTGGTGGCGCTCGAATTTGTTATATTTTTCATGAAACGTTCGGTAAAACGCTCAATTCTATTCATCCATTGGCAGGTCTTACGAAAATGGATATTTTAACGGCTATTCGAAATGCGACTGGTCCGAGACCTGCTCTATTTGTACCGGAAGTTTCGTTCGAGTTGTTGGTCAAACGGCAAATTCGAAGACTCGAGGAACCATCTTTACGGTGTGTGGAACTTGTTCACGAAGAAATGCAAAGAATTATCCAGCACTGTGGTACCGAAGTACAGCAAGAAATGTTACGTTTTCCAAAGTTACACGAGCGCATTGTCGACGTCGTAACGCACTTGTTGCGTCGACGTCTCCCACCTACTAATCATATGGTTGAAAATCTGGTTGCTATAGAATTAGCGTACATTAATACCAAGCATCCTGATTTTCATAAAGACACTGCATTTGTCTCGTCATTACTTAAAAATTCCGAAGCAGATCATTTAAAACATAACAGAAGACTTCCTTCTACAACAAGTCCATCAAACACTATAATTCCAAACGATATAGTAAGTAACCAGTGAAAACGATAAATTTCTTTTATGCAGTTACCTAGTAATTCATTCTTTGTTTATTGTACTTTTCTAACCAGTAGAATCGATTATTATATATTCATTTAACAAAGCATAATGTTCCAAACGTCATGTTAAAACTCCTAACATGTCCCTAACAGAATGTAAAATCAGTTAATAGTCAAGACGAAGTGGCATCTTTTTCCGAGCAGAACAGTGACCAACATGAACATCAGAATAACCAACATCATTGGTTATTCAGTAATTTAATGCCTCAAGGGAGAATTGATTCAAGCAGTTCGATTGATGGTTCGCCAATAAGAAATCGGGAAAACAATGCCTCTCCTTATTCAAATGCAAATTCTAATCCGATAATCGATATACAAAAAGCATCTCCGCAACAGAAACCAATAAATCTACTCCCGGAAGTACCAATGCAATCATCTCGCAAACTTAGTGACCGAGAACAACGGGACTGTGATGTTATTGGTAATAGTAAAAAGAATTTGCATCATTTCATGCAACAGAGGTTATTCTATTCCATTTGTCTATATAAACGTTTATCTTTGCAGAGAGATTAATAAAGTCGTACTTTTATATCGTAAGGAAATCTATACAGGATACCGTACCAAAAGCTGTTATGCATTTCCTAGTCAATTATGTAAAAGATAATTTACAAAGCGAGCTCGTAACTCATTTGTACAAGTCAGATCACGCCGAGGTACTTTTAAACGAGAGCGAACATGTTGCTATCAGACGCAAGGAAGCGGCAGACATGCTAAAGGTGTGTATACGTACATAGTGTTATTCTATATTCTATCTGCATCTGTGGAATATCTCAAATTTATCAGTATATTTATGAACTTTGTATTGCAGGCACTAACTCAAGCTGGTCACATTATTAGTGAGATTCGAGAGACACATATGTGGTAATTGATTATGTACAACGCACACACACCATCAATTTAGAGTTTACTATAGATATTTTGGCGTTGTAGTAGATAAATCGACGACTGAAATTACGTGTGTGTCGATCCGCTGTATATAACTTTTATTTTTCATGCAAGCAGTGTCTCTACACGAATAAGAATAATTTGTAAGGACTACGGATTTTCTTTTAATTTCACTTTATACGCGTAAAGGAAACACAATATCATACGTGCATTTATAGCCATCGTCGGTATGATCAATGCCAATGAACACTGAAGTATACAAATTATCTTTAATACCAATGATGCTCATGTCGTAACAATACGTTAAACGCCTTACTGAATCTCTGCGAATACCAGCCAGCAGTTTATATCGAAAAATGTCAACTTTCTTCATAATTGTAAGGTGTAAAAACAGAGAAACACCATCGTGAATTTGGAGCAATCTGTATCGTTTTGTAACATTTTGCACTGCTCGTAGAAACTGAAAATGGATAGTGTCTAATCCAAAAGTATTGTAAAAATTTCGTTTTTTTCTTTTAGCGTTTTGTGATATAAATTCCAAACCATGTATCGATATATATATATATATAGACATTTGTATTGTTAATTTATTATTATTTGGAGGTACAGCCAAACCGATTGTAACATTGAATGATACATTGTTGTGTTTTGATAGTCTCGATGTTGGGTACAGTAAAGAACTTTTCAATAAACTGTATGTGCTCAAGCAATTGAGGCAAAGCCTGTGCATAGTGGCCTTCGTACATTTTAGAAATCGCATTTAATCTTTTATCGACTGATTTTCGAAATTGACCATTCACCTTTTTGCAGTCAATTTTTTCCTTACAAGCGAAACATTTCATAATTGATGCTTGTCGGATATCTTTTTCATTTAAAGGAAACTCACAAATAATTTCAGAACATGTCTTGCATTTGTAACTCATTGTGTCGGGTAACGGGGATTGCCAGTTTTGCGTACAAGCTTCGCATTCGCATAAGAAACGATACTTTTTCCATAGGTACTCGCGCCTTTGTAGTCTACCTTCGCTAAGAAAGTGTGGTCCGTAGCAATCGAGAATTTCACTGCCCTTGCCGATAAAGCGCAACGTTCTTACCACGACCATTCCTGCGAAATAAGTGAAATTTATATGTCAGCGTGCATGAAATCTTCATCTTTATAAGAGACAAGTGAATTTTCACCTGCTGGATACGAATGACGAACGATGTTTGGATAACAGCTATGATTGACGAGACTAACCGACGGATAAATTGCCCCACCAATCTCTCTCGGTTCCCATACATGGGTTTTCTCGTTGTACACGTTCTCTACGATCTCGTAAGCGTTGCAGTTAACGGCCTGTAAATGATGCAACATTCCGACAGCCAACGAGAGGAATGTTTCTTTTAAACAAACAACATCCATTTTACTCAACACAGAAGTAAAACATTTTGTTAAAAATATTGCCTCGATAGCGCGAATTAGATTCACATTAGGTTCTAAAGTCGTGCAATGAGTCTCCAATCCTAATACGGTGCGATAGTCCTCTGATTTATAAATTTCGCTTATTCCTAACTCGCTGCTTTCCTTGTTTGCACTTGCGGCTTGACAACGAAGGTAATCGTCGTTCAGAAACGGAATATCATTTTCCCCTGCATTATTGTTATGCATTTTCGTAGCTCCCGAAGATAAGGAGCCTATGACCATCATTCTATAGGCCAGCAACAAGTGCGAAGCCTGTCGTTGCGTTTGCTCGGAGGAATTACCTTCGTAAAAAAAATCGAATAATGAACATTCGTACCGATGGTACGTTCGCCATGCTTCCTTTCGGCATTTCTCCGAACAAAAGGACACCTGTAGAAGTATAATCGTGTTCGTGATTTAGAAACACATGTAAAAATGAATAAATCGGATGGCAGAAACTGTAGAAGTAACATTATTTTCGTTACTAACCGTTCGACAAGAGTAACAGGGAATTTTAACAGTACTGCGCGATTTAAAGCTGGCGTGACAATGCAAACAATTCCTATCCAGTGCTTCCTTATTCGTGCTGGAAGCAAACGGTGGTTCAACGATCAGCACGCTTCCTGCTTTGATGTTTCTGGAGGCGACAAGTCGTCGACCTCTCTTTTCGTCAAATTCTAGGGCCACAGCATCGGAACAGCTTTTGAGGATAGCGTGTCGTTTCCCATCAACGACAGGTGTTGTTGCAATGCTTTCGTTTCGCAAGAATACGTTCTCCGAAGCAGTAGTTCGATTCGAGTTGCGTCTCCCATGCGTTTTTCCTCCCCTAGAAGAGGATGTCTTCAGCTTCTTGGAGCATTCACTTTCCAAGTACATGCACGCTTTCCTACGTTCCAAAAAATTGTTCAAACTTTCGGCAGACTTATCGTACAGGTTTACGGGAAGCGCAAGCATGCAATCGCAGTATTTCAGGCAACTCGCAAAAGCCTTCGAGTCGTAACAGTGTTGGGCGCAATCAGAAAGAGCATCCAGAAACAATCTACTAGTTACACTGGCCGTAAACAGTGTTTCGGTGATGACACTAATTCTACTTTCCTGTTCGCACGTAACTCCATTTTCATTTTGCACCCCGCGGATTTTACCGTAAATCTCAGCCGCCAAAACGTCATCCTTACCCCTGTACGATTCGGCAATTTTGACGTTCTCTATGTACGGTATATCGATAAGAAGTTTTATCATTCCATTCCTGTCTCCGTTCGCAGATAATTCTTTGAAACGATTCGCGAATGGCTCCGCTGTTGCGGCGTCGTAAGCGATTTTGAAAAACCCATTGAATTTGATACACCTGCGAACGATAGAAAATTATGGGATATACATCAAGAGTATATCCTACACGTTATAACAGCACAATTGATCTATTATAAATGTAGTATCTTTATCCTATGTACATATCAGAAAAAGTAAGGGAGGATGTCTAGGAACCGGGCGTGGGCGACTTGTATACACTATGTAATTTAGAAATAATCATTGAAACGCAAATGATTTTGTACAAAGTAAATAATTAAGCGGTGAGCATAACAAATTTCTTTAATTGCGTTAAATCGGTTTTATAATTAATACTCAGTTTTCAATTTCCACGGTTTCTAACGTGCACTAGAGGGTTCTAGATTTCTAATGTGCACTTTAATGCGCGATCGTATCTCTAGTCGGCAAATCTTAATTTAGGTCTCTAAATTTACCAACGTAATTTAATCAAAGACTGAAATAGTTCGAGCAATAGTTCCCCATTTTCACGTACGCATAGCAATCCTAATCGCTAAACGACATTCGATCCTTTGATTTTTAACTTCTCTGATAATCGCATCCGTCCAACGAGTTATGAGTCATTAAAAAAAACGTAATAATGGTCGTGTTCATACCGTTTTACTGCAGACATTATACTATTTTGATAGAAACAGTGAATTATAATGTAGTCAGCATTACATTGACACCAGCACTTTTATCGTAGTTACAAGACACGACACGAATGAGCTGTGACGATTTCTAAAATTAGATGTTAGAGATTTTATACTGCTGCAGCTTGCGCTTTATTTCAAAACTACACACTATGAAAAATAATTGGATACGTAGAACAGAAGTTCATTGATTTTCTGCGGTAATATTGCCATCGTAAACATGCTCGAAGTTTGTTTAATCTTTACTGTTCAATAATAATTATCGTACAAAACGATGTGTAATTGATAAACACGAAGTAAGAGAGATTAACGTAACAAGTTCGTTTTAATACTTGCAATAGAGACATTAAAAAGAAAAAGACTAAATAAAGATGTATAAGATATCCTTTTACAAAATTTTCAACAGGAATAGAGTAATTATTCTGGTAATTCGTCTTGTAATTAACAATTAAATTGTTTTGAAAATTGATCGCAAACTTAAAGTATACCTATAGGACAAAATATACATGCATACGTATTCGCTTCAATTTATTTTATAAATAAAATTTATTGATTTGCACGAAGAATTCTTGATACAGTTTGGTGGAATTTAAAAATTGAATTATAATACTACTTTTTTGCGATTGATGTCACTACTGTGCCTAACCATTAGGAGTACCAGACGTCACATGATAAGTACGGGTGTGAGTGCTTCCCTTTCAATCTCACCGTGAAATGTTCTTATTTTAAGGAACTACCAAAGTCTGTAACTGACTTATGCTTTAAATTCGTTACTCTTAATTCATTTACACGTCGACGTTTGCCTTAAATAACGTGCGTATCGAATAAACAAAAAACAAGCGCCATGAGATACCTTTTGGGCACTACTTTTGCGACCACTGCCACTGCTACAATTACAGTCTTAGGTATTAATTTATAATTACTTTATCCTAAATAAAACAGTAGATTGATAAATCTAATAAAGTAGATAGGTACTTAATTACTGTTGTTATTTACAAAAATATCGATTAACATTTTTGTTTCTTATCCTTGTACTATGTATGAGATTTAAATAACAATATTAATTACAGTATTGTACCATGTATTCACTGGGAAAGGAGAACGCGTCAGTGTTGCATGGTAAGTATACCAATTTTAATCATTTAATGTTTAATTGAACATTATAATTAGTATGTTAACACCAAAAATGATCCTAGGTTCCTGGAAAGTTCTACTCCATACATGTGGGCAACTCTTGGTATTGGGCTTGCTGTTGCCCTGTCTGTAGTTGGTGCTGCATTGTGAGTTTTAATTTTACAAGGAATGTTAACGCATAGATGTTTTCGAAAGGTTAAACAATAATATATTTCAGAGGAATTCATACAACTGGTGTTTCAATTGTTGGTGGTGGTGTTAAAGCTCCAAGAATTAAAACAAAGAATTTAATCTCTGTCATATTTTGTGAAGCTGTGGCTATTTATGGATTGATCACAGCCATTGTTTTGTGTGGAATGTTGGAAGAATTTAATTATACCCAGGCAGCTATAAGACCAGAAGTTCGCAATGAGAACTGGCTTGCTGGATATTTAATGTTTGGAGCTGGTTTAGCTGTTGGTCTGGTTAATTTGTTTTGTGGCATAACTGTTGGTATTGTGGGTTCTGGAGCAGCTCTTTCCGATGCAGCCAATTCAGCTCTGTTCGTCAAGATTCTCATAGTTGAAATCTTTGGTTCTGCCATTGGACTTTTCGGATTAATTGTTGGCATTTATATGGTAAGTTTCCTAAAACCATAAGTACATACCTATTCTTTTTAATTTATTTAGGTATTAATGAATTTTTTCAACCTTGTAGACGTCAAGGGTAAAAATGGGAAACAAAGTATAAACATAGAGTAGAAAGAAGTGGTACAACCGTAAAGTATTTTTTGGAATCACAAAATTCCATTCCATGTTTAGTAATTGTTAAAAAAGAATATGGATAGAAAGAAAATGTATCGCTACTTTGTTTGAACCAGTGTAAAGAAACTTTTACCATGCAAAGTCAGTACATCATCTCCATTTTGGGCAAGTGTAATTTTGATACAAATAGTTTTTCTTATAAATACCTGTCAACACTTAAAATATTTGAATGTCATGATCTCTGTGTATTAACCATATGGATAAATATCAATTTTCAGTAATATAAAATTTATTCCTGTACTATTGTTACTTATGTATGGTATTTTGAGTGCGTTATAGCGCTCTTTTTTAAATACATTTAATGTATATATTTTGTCCAACAGAAATATTATATCAAGTAAGAGTAATATTATGTTATACTTACTCATACGTGTTGCATATATGTATAAAATATAGTACTGTAATCTTATTTAACACCACAATTTTCTTTACAACATAATATGCAGAAAATAGATTTTTATTATTTTAACACTCATAAAAAGTTCTCCAAAAACAATATATAAAAATACATGATTGTATATGTTATCAACAATGATCAAAATTCTTATAAATTAATTATACGTATTCAGTGACATTCAATACAGTAATTACTATTGATTGTAGGTACACAACAGTGTTTTGGTCACTGAATCAATATTTGATGAATATCTTTAAATGCCTGTTCTAAACATTTTACATACTCACTAGAATTACAATATTTGCTGTAACTTGTTACAATAGCTCCCAGTTTTTGATCTTGAATCATGTATCTAAATATTAGATGAAGACGTTATGTATAAAATTTCACAAACACTAATGTATATAATAGCAGGTGATCAATGATACATTTATAAAACCAATAAAGAGAACATGTATCTTACCCGATTCCATATCCATCATTCACCACTGGTCCAAATCCACCAGCAAGTACAGCAGGACTTGAAAGAGTTGATGTGGATAGAATGTTATGATTAATATAATCATATGCTGGATCTTTAAAAATTGTTGGCATGGGTGTACTTAATTGTTCACAAATTTTTTTTAATGCAAACAAATGTCGATCAAATCCATGCCCTAAAAATATGTGAAATGATATTTAATACTAGTTTCTGGAAATACACCTTTTTTTAGGCAAAAAGAATAAGTAACACAAGATTCTACTGTGCTTTTTTGTAATTACCCATAGCAGCATCTTTAGTGATTGTATTATGACTGTTACTACAATTAATTATTAATTGCTTCAATTCAGACTTAGATAAATTGTTACTTTTTTGAGCTATAGCTTCGCATGTTATTTTTGTTTCCACTGTACAGGATCTAATAGTTTCTGTTCGTCCATGCTTAAATGCTGCAGTACTACAAGATTCATATGTTGGCACTACACAGTTTTTTTGATAATATAAAGCTAACTGGAAAGCCAATTGCATAATTGCGTCAGGACTTACTCCAAATTTTTTACACTGATCTTTACCAAATTTGTCAAATATAACATGATCAATACTTAATTGGTTTGTCCATTCTTTATAATTTATCTTTTGTTCGTCACTAGTGTTTTGTATCTTATTATCTACCTTAAATTCAAGTTTCTTAAAATTGATCATTGCTCCTTTCTGAATGTGATGAACATCAGTAGGATGGAATCTCGGTTTTTTAGATACATCATCTTTTACATCCTGCAGAATTAAAAGAATTATTGTTATAAATTACAATTTTTTCATCCATATTATTGATTTACATATTATTTACATTAAAAAATCTGAGGACTGCAACCCCATCACCCCAAGAATGTTCAAAATTTATTCCAGCATATCCATCTTGCGTCACGATTAAAGAGAATGATTTATCAAACCATCTGTTTGTTCCATCTGCATGGAGATATGTTCCAAGTAATTTATTATAATCGGTGCCGATATGTGTATCATCCAATATCATCATAAATATGGCAGAATCTATTTTTTCTAGAAGTTCTTGGTTGCCAACTCGTGACAAATGCTCTCTAGTATCAGCCCACAAATTACGTTCTGCAGTCGTTAGTACTCCAATAGAACATTTATTGGTTGCTCTATCATCTTCTAAAATTGTCTTTATACATGCTGCTATTGTTTTTGATTCATAAATATGGCCATTTTCGTTTACTACATCAAAAGAATAGAAATATCCTTTCCTCATTACAATCACATGCCGACCCGATTCATCTCGACATATCTCATCTTTTTCTAATTTTGGTAATCTTGTTGAATTAAATAAATTCGGATACTGTGACATATCTAAAGGAAAAGCCTGTAATAATTACTTCTCTTTTAAGTATGCCAGGAACTTCTTTATTTTAAAATAAAGAACAGAGACATTTAAATTAATTTTACTTGTACAGTAAAGATTACTTCTGATCTCATCCAATAAAACTGTTATCTTACCTTAAATAAATATGCTCCATACCAACTAAACCGGGATGGAAGCAATCTTGTGACAGTACGAAATAGATCAGTATCAGACTTTTTGGGATTTAAATGATATACCTCTGGTGGTAAAATGTGCTCTTTTAATGCTCTCATGAATCTTAGTGATGATATGATTAAGTTTGTAGCTTTAACTAACTGTATATTATATTCTGACTTTTCTTCTGGTACAAAAACTAAGAATGGATTGTAATTGATAGGTAAAGGTTTACGGTCTCGAAGATACATGTCAAACCATGGTTCACTAATATAACTGGTATGAAGATTTTTAGAATCTTTTTCAACAAGTTGTTCATGCAAAGCAATACCATCTTTGATCAGAAAATCATTGACATAGGATGTTGTCTTTTCAAACTGCTCATTAGATAATATAGGCTTCTGTGCATTTAGATATCGCTGACAAGTATTTTTTAGTTTAGGAATAGGCAACCGTGGAAGAGATGGTTGAAAATGCATTGTAGGAGTTTTACTTTTCTTAATATATTGGTATTCTTCATCCTTCTGTATAGATGTACTTCTACAATACAAATGAGTAGTCAAGAGGATATATTCTGTTAGACATTTAAATATATATGTGTGCACTTGCCTAGATGCTTGCAATACTATTTGCACCCTTCCACATTTGATCTGAAACATACATATAACAGTAAAGTAATATATTATATTCACAAATGTAAATATCATTACCACTTTCGTCCTTGAGTATATATGCCTTGTTGTGAAGGATAACATATTGCACATGGAATATAAATTTTATTTATTACCGTATAGTACAGTATTTTTATAATACGAGTAAGTCGAACAAACAGTAGATATCGTATAATAAAATAACACCGTGTAACACTTAATAGAATCGACACTTTTTATTGCTAATTTGTAATGTATTGTTAACAATAACTGTATGCGTATGTAGACTCATGCATTTATACATTCTTAATATATACCCTAATTAATTGAACGCGTACAAAACAATACTACATGTATTTATTGTGTAATTTACAAAATTATTTCAGAAATGTATGTATTTCCACATACTTCAAGTTTCAAAAAATTAATTCAAAATTTGAACTACTTAAGAGTGGAGGAGTGGATCTATAACGATTGACAGATAAGGATTTATTTCGAACGATGTCATTTACAACAACGAATAAAATAAATATGGAATCAAAATCCGATTATATGTTTTTTTCAATAGTGTCAAATTGCTTGTTTAGCACCTTAAATTGGTACAGCGCATAAATAATAGTTAGTGATAGTTGTTTTTAATTAATAGCAGAGAATTTTCTCTCTGGGACTACATTATCTAGATCTATATGGATCTCGTCTATGCTTCAATTTCTTACGCTAATGTAACAACCACACATAGATGGTGCTACAATATAATTCTTTAAAAATGTTAAAATCGTGTAGTAAAACATAACCACAAAAATCGGAAAAATGAAAATGTCTCTGGTCTCTGGAACCAGTAGCTGAAAATTAAATTCATTGATTGAGAACTGTTTCTTTCAATTCCACGTACGGATCCTGTGCTACTGACTTACATAATTAATTCATTTTATGAGTTTGTTTTTAAAGGAAAGGCTTCTTTAAACTAACAATTCATGAATATAAAATTATGTATTTTCATTGGTCTGTACAAGATTGTTACAAACGTACAACTCATGGCAATTCTTGTTTATAAATATTATGAATTTACTAGTATCTTTTCATATACCAAAAGACTTTCGAAAATTATATTGTTTGTGGTTTAAGCATTATATCTACATATTCTGGTGCTGAAACGTCCAGTAGATTTATTGTTCCAGGCACTCTGTAATTCTGTCCAACCATGGAATTTGAACATTTTTCATCATTTTTGTTTTCTTTAGATCTTAAAAACTTACAACATACAATATACCAAAAACTTTGCACCACATTCTTTACCAATCCTACAAAGTTCATCATGTTAAAAATGTTATTCATATGATATGCTCTAGTATGAGTAAATTACTACATACCGCTTGTAACAAAAATGCCTCCAACTGTAGCACATAATTTCACCAAAAATTGACATACTGTATCACGTTGTTGAGTAACTTTTATTTTAAGTGCACTCATGTCATATTTAAAGAAGATTCCTGGAATCCCATGAGATCCTTTTTGATGATCAATTGGTCTTTGATGATCTTTCACACTATACTGATACGTTTTAGAAGTACTCAACAAAGTTTGTATATCCGTGGGAACTACTTCCACAAAATACTGATATAAAATCATATCTGAAAGGTAAATCCATTGTAAGTAAATATAGGGTGATTCTCTCTCTAGAGGCTCCAGAGAGAGCAGTTGCCGACCTTGGCGTTATAATCTGTCGATTGGTTAACGCCGCGATATCAAGGACCTCTCTGTCATCGACGGCTATGGCCGCGGAATCGGCAGTGTGGGTGCATGTCTGTGAAAGAGAAACGATGCGGCGACTATTCTCTTTGGAGTTTCTACCGAGAGAATTACTCTGCATAATTATTATAAATCTTGTATTTGTATTTCAGATGACATCCACTTACTGTTATCAGCAATTTTTTCATCTCCCTCTAATGGATGAACAATACCTGGACTGGGTCCACCAAATGAAAATTTGTTTATTCTATGAGTGAAGTTATAATGCTTATCAGTCATGAAAGCTGAAATATGTATGTGTCCCCTAGGAATGGATAATGACTTTCCAGCTGTAATGTGAAAATTTCCGGCAACTTTGTTAACATTTAGACTACCATGAATACGACATGCATTAGGTGCATAACTAGGTTCATGGGTTCTCTTTGGCATTTCACTATATAATGTGACCTGATTGGATTTCCACAAAAGTTCATGAATGGCATGGTATTCTTCTCTTAAATATGAATTCATATGTTTCAAAGCTTCAAAGTGAGATCTTTGTTCTTGTGTTAATTCCCACCATGTGTCTTCTTCTTCTAATGATTGATGACCTATCATATTTTGATTGGTAGAATCCAAAACATCTGCACCAATACGACCACAGGGCATTGCAACCGTTATATCAATATTTATTTTTAATTTAGCATCAAAGTCTGTATCTGGTTCAAATTTGAATTGTAACCTACTATCAAAGTAGTAATTTGTTTCCGCTATTATTAGATATGCAATAGTGCAGATTGTAAATATGGAAACTGTAAGAAAAATATATAACAATTTATGTATGTTTATATTTGTTATACTTAGTAAGTTTTATGATTAAAAAAACTTACAAGTTCCTCCAACTACAGTCTTATCAACATATGGTTCAAGAACCTTAGGAAATGCATCCAGTTCTTTAACAGTTTTAATGTTAACATTTCGCCTACGTAACATTTTTCCAGTATTTACAAATTCAGATGAAATGAGTGTACTGTTCTATTCATTTGATACCTATTAATCTGTATCAGATACGTAAATGGATATAAGCATTGTATGTCATACCTATATAAATTATAAAATCAACTGTCAATATTCTTACCTTAATTCTATATTAAAGATTGATTGTCTGTACATATTTACAAATACATTTTTCTTTTAATAATATAAGACATCCACTACGTAATATCTTAAATGTATACGTTCGAGACGTCACTAATTTGCATGTTAATAATAATTTTGTATCTTTTGGACACAGTTGTTGTAGCCTATAACTTGTAGGTTGGCTGGCAACAATATCAAGAGCGCCACCGTATCTATAGCAAGAATGCGAGAAACTCGTCGTATTAATTGAAATTATGTAGAAAATGTAGGAATACAATAATATCAAACATACAATTGTAATATGATATAAAATAATAAAAAATATAGGAAATATAAATAAACATATACTTAATAAGGCTTTAATGTAATCGTTTAATATGCGATGTAAATTTCAATTATTTCGAAAATATTTTGTTTGATTTGTTTGTAGTTCATGGAACAAGTACCTTAGTGTATATTTATCACACTTTCAATGTATTGGTTAATTTCGTGGTTGAGTATGCATTCGTTATCGCATCAATGATTTAAAGCACTCTCCTTATCTCAAATGAATTTTACATTTAATGTTCACTTCGGAAATTAGTGAATTTGCAGTTATAGACGACCGCGCATCATTACGCTGCTTCTATTGAAATCTTAAACATAAATGCATTATATTAATGATCAATTATGAATTGTGTGTAAATATAACTTATTGAAACGCGTTAATATCTAATACACTTACGAATATTGCACCTTTAAGTTGTTTTGCATTTTTGTGACAAAATTCTAAAACTTTTGTTTACTGTTAGTGCATATATTGAGTAATAGATCTTAGAAGACTGTGCAACTGTGCAGTTATTGTATTCAGTTGTTTAGTATTGTGTTACAAGTTTATTAAATGTAATGTGTACATTCCCAATATCATTCTTATGTAATAGGAATTAGGTCACAAATTTTATACTGTGTTTGATTTGTATGAATATGCAGGGAGTGTTTTAATACTTAAAAGATTACCAAAAAAGTTGTAATATCTGCAACAAAATATATTTCACACAGAGAATACAGTGCATGCAACAAAGTACATTCACTTTTATTAATGTCAGTGCACAAAATACTGGGAAATTGAGAACTCAAGATGCCAGGGACTCTGACCTACCCAATATATGCTGATGTAGAATCACCTCCTCAAAGACATCGATCTTACACTTGGAATCATCGTAACAGATCCCCAGTGTCACAAGTTACTGCAAGACATGGAAGACTATCTTTGTCAGAACCTGTGGTAAATAAATAACTCTATTGTTTTATACATATTAAAACTATAAATATTACAGTAATATACTACCTTAGAAAATTTCTATTCTTATCAATGTGCTACAATACCTAATTGTTAACTCAAATGAGAAAATGATACAAGTTCATCATACGCATTATTGTAATCCCGTTATCATTGTCAACATAATATCCTTATGATCTTAAGACAGTACTTTGATAATGAAGAACCTGTCTTAAAGAATTCACTCCAAAACATGTGAATCACATTCTCTTTGCATTTTAACGAGTTAAGTATAATAACAACGATGACGAATATTTTATGTTCATGTAAACAATTTAATTTTCGTAATTTCGAGAACGTTGTCCAACTTATTGCGTGCAATGACGAAAGGCGCAACTATTTAGGAAAATTCGTAGAGATGTTCGCAGGCGCATTAGAAGCAACGCGTTTCAGCGATATCTAGGCTCGTTTGTATATATTCGTTTCTGAAGACTTGCTTTTCCTTATTATTTGGAATGGTTTAATACCTAAAGAAATATGTGTTTTGAGAACTGCAAGCTAATTTTATGACAACCAAGATGAATTTATTGATATGATTGGACATCGAATGATTGGACTACGTTTTAGCAATGTTTGAATATTTGAAAGGAAGCTGGCCATCTTTAAGTGCGAGTATGTCATATCCGTTTCGTTCGTGCAATAGTGACGAAGAGGGGTTAAGACAAAATAGGTTTCTTGATGGCACATAAGAAACTGTGAGCCTCATTAAATTCTAAGAAATAGAAGTCGACGATTCGAAACAAATCGATTATACATAACGTTAATGGCAGAGGGACATGTTTACGGATATAATCCGCCATCCGGAGTTGACGGAGAATCTGTACGTAACTATTTTGACAGGTTGACAAATACAGGTTGGATTTTTGATTAGAAGATTCCAGGGAGGGTATTACTTCTAAAAATTTGTTGATTTTACGATTAATTGTACTATTATGTCGACAAAAAATGTTTCATATAATTGAGAATCAGCTAGGAGTTGTCTGTATAACGATTATTTAATTTGAACCGTGAATCACTCACTTTTGTCAATATATGTTTCTTTATATTGATATTACACATATACACACAACAAAAAAAAGACTGTTTTAAACACATTATGTACATATTTATGCATTTTCTTTACAGCAAATTTATGATACTAACACAAGTAAAAATTAATTGATAGTATAAACTGTGCAAAAATTAATATAAAATAATATTATATTTATTTAAAAATAAATGAAACACTTGTTTACTTAATGACTTGTAAGAAAGTTTCTATTGTGTATTGAATACATTCAGCACTTTATAATCAATGTTTCACAAAGTGTTCAATGTTTTATAAAAGATGTTTGATGAAATTGATTTCTGTGCTCTTAATGACAATACTAATATATTAAATTATAATTAATAGAATTATGTCTTCAACTGCTTACAAAACTTTCTATAATTCAATTTTTAATATTTACATTTTCTACAGAGAGATGAGGCTACCAGAAAGCTGAGATTAAAGGTGATTGCTGGGCACCAATTAGCAAAAAAAGACATTTTTGGTGCAAGCGATCCTTACGTACGTGTTGATTTAAATACTATAAATGGTGATCAGATATTGGATTCTGCACTTACAAAAACTAAAAAAAAGACTTTGAATCCTGTCTGGGAGGAAGAATTTATATTTAGGGTAAGTTTATCATTAATACACTTTATTACCATTATAAATGAATATATCAAAGAAATGTTGTTTTCTTTTTGTAGGTAAAACCTGTTGATCACAAGTTGGTGCTACAAGTTTTTGACGAGAACAGATTGACAAGGGATGATTTTCTTGGAAAGGTCGAATTGACATTAACTAATGTACCTAAAGAGCAAGAGGGCCGAACAATCCCTGCTAGACATTATTTACTTCGTCCACGTAGGTAAGTATTTTTTAAATGTATGCTTTAAGCTGTGTGTTTTGAAATATTTTTGCAAGCTTAATTTTTTTTAGCTACTTACAATAATTTTTACATATAATACAGATATATAACAAACTAATTTTACATTACATATATTGTTACTTTTAGTCAGTTCTGTTATTTATTTTATGCACATTATTCTACATTATTTTGATACATTTTCCTAATCATTCATTCAATTTGATGGGTTGCATTTCACTAGTATTGATCTCTGATTTATTAAAATATTTATTTCGTATCTTTTATTTGCAAATGCAAAATGAATAACTTACGAGGATATGGCTAGGAATCATTCCAGTCAGCGTTCGAGAGTAAAAGGCACTTTGCAAGTGTATCATGCATATATGTCGGATTCATCGACTACAGAGAATGACAATGGGGATGATGCATCTGACTCAGGAGGGTGGGAAATGGTACAATCAGTAAACGTGAACCATCCTTCACAGACAGTTACGTATACCTTATGCTGTAAGATGAAGATTCGGAATGGTGTTGCCACTTATTTCTGTAAATAATATTTTATGTAAAACGTTTTCTAGGTCGCATTTGACTCACCTTTAGCACCTTTACCACCAGGATGGGAAGAAAGACAAGATGCAAACGGGCGGACATATTATGTTAATCATATAGCAAAATTTACGCAATGGGAACGACCATCGGAATCGTATGTTATAAATATTACGTGTTTAGATATTTCACTTAAAAATAGATAATCTCGTTAAAATATTACATTACAATTACAGTAATACGTCACCCAGTGGAAATATGGCAATTGAACGAAATTTCAGTACTGCTGCAACTGAATTTCAACGACGTTATCATATTAGTGCAGATAATGAAAACAGGCACAGAAGTTCAAATAATCAGGTAACATTAAGGATTTTTATAGATAATTATGAATAAAATCATAAGGCTATAAAGTAACAATAATATATAAGGAACGTAAGAAACTACGAGAAAATTTTTTGCATTGTCTCTTAGTAACATACATTACCAGACGAAAGTTTGAGATGATGTATGAAAATATAGCGTGTGTTATTTGATTGTTTTACATTAATTTGTTATGGCGTTAATTCTGTTTACACATACGTTCTACATGTTATTTTATGTAATACATTTTACTGAGTTATTATTGTCGTATTCATTCCAATATGTAGATTACAGTGTTAAAGAATTAGTACTCTTTGCTTTCAAATCTCCATGTCATGTGAAAGTATTATCTTGTTCGTGTTATTGTGATGTCCATAGTTCATGTAAGATATATGTGTGTAAACAGATACACACACACGCACAAAACATAGGGCTTACCTAAATCATTGCAAATCCAATTTGTATCCAAATCCAAATGTACCGTAAACTTTACTACAGTTTAAATAGTAAATTACAACATATAAGTAGAATAAGGCTAAATTACATAGTGCTTCCTGTGTTCTAACATTATAAAGCAATGCAGAAAGAGCATTGATCATATAATTTAACAGAAACTTATCATCATTAATTACATCATCTGTTTCTGTAGCTCAGCTTTATATCTGCAAAAACATTACACTTTGTTTAAACACAGACTGACAGCTGTAGTATGTATCCATAACACATCGTAATAACAACATGTGTATTAACGATTTACTAATTATTATAATTAGTTACGCATGATTTGTTCCACAATAAATATGTTAAACACGATTAATGTAGCAACATGATAAGTCTCTAACAAAAAGATTAATTGGCATGCAATATGTAGCAATTTTGTGCATGTGTGTGTAAGGATGGTGATGTTCTCCGCGAGGAAGATGAAGATTCGGAAGCAAGAGATTATGAGATTGAGAGTCATAGGGGAGGGGGTATTGGGGACACTTCTTCAGACTCCGGACGTTCTGTTGATCAACGTGGCTACCATAGTGAATGCGAAGATCAGGTACTCATACACGTAGACATGCTCAGTTCCAATTTTTATTCGATGCTTCTGTTTATAGTTTCTTCTTCATATTACATAATTCTGAAAATATCTAAAGAAAACACTTTTACTATACAGCGTACCACTGTTTATTTTGAACATTAATGTATTTTAGAGAATGTTAATTATGAAACTTTATCACATATTTGTACATGAAAACAGATATATTGTCTTTGTTTTATTACAAGATGTATTTTTTATGCATGATTATTTAGAACTCTGTTTCTTCATTTTTCAAACTTGCTATGTGGCATGATTTTGTTTAATTCAGTGCTCATTGTAAAGGATTTGTTTAACATATTAACAAGTTCCATAGATATCAGATATGATTTATTATACCGTACAATCGCCTGATAACATTAAATCAGTATATTTGTGGTGTAAATGTATTTTTATGTTGCCGAAAATATTATTTTTATGCAAAAATACGTTAACATTATAATTACAGAGTGATGATAACGTGGATAGCCCAACTGGTTCTAGACGATCGTCTGAACAGGTGAATACAGTTGTTAATAGAAATTTAAACAACGATATTGATGAAACTAGTAGCAACATTTTCTTATTACGATCGGTGTTATCTTAATATATAGATTGAAAGTCCAAAACCCACTCTTCCTGCGTACAGCAATGAGGGATTACCACCAGGATGGGGCATGCAAGTAGCACCAAATGGTAGAGTCTTTTTTATTGATCACTGCAAGAGGACAACAACATGGATCGATCCGCGAACGGGGCGTCCAAGTTCGATACCAAATCACATTGCACCTTCTGCTACCCCTAGAAGTGATTTGGATCAACTTGGACCCCTGCCTGAAGGTTGGGAAGAAAGAGTACATACGGATGGCAGAATATTTTTCATTGATCACAGTATGTTTACATTCAATTAAAATTATACATGGTTTAAGAATTTTCAACGTGATCACACCGTGTTTCATTTTTTTACAGATACAAGGACAACTCAATGGGAAGATCCACGCATGTCTAATCCACAAATTGCTGGTCCGGTATGTGGAAAATTCATAATTTTAAACGTACAATTTTTAGTGAAACACCATCATAGATGAAGCTTTTTTACTTTTTACAGGCTGTCCCATACTCGAGAGATTACAAACGTAAATACGAGTACCTTAAATCCCAACTAAGAAAGCCTGTAAGTATTTATATCATTGCGAGAAGATTAATTTTCATGGGTAATAATTGTTCGGTTGTCTTTTCAGAACAACGTTCCTAATAAATTCGAAATAAAAGTTGGGCGAACTAACATTCTAGAAGATTCGTATCGTATAATTAGTTCCGTTAATAGAGTGGAGATACTGAAGACAAAGTTATGGGTGGAATTCGAAGGAGAAGTTGGTTTAGATTACGGAGGTCTAGCTAGAGAATGGTTTTTCCTTCTATCTAAAGAAATGTTCAATCCTTATTATGGATTGTTTGAATATTCTGCTACGTAAGTGTGGAATATGTTAATATCTTTGCATAATGTAATGAATTGGTGTTAATCGCTATTAACATATTTGTAGAGATAACTATACACTACAAATTAATCCTTTCTCGGGTGTGTGCAACGAAGAACATCTAAATTATTTTAAATTTATTGGTCGTATAGCGGGTATGGCTGTTTACCATGGTAAACTCTTAGATGGTAAGTATCATATTAGTTATGTTAAAAGTACAGAATATCATATATGTGCATATAAATGTACATATATATACAGAGTGTAACAAAAATGTTGGAAAACCCGGAAATGGGAGATCCGTGATGTGATTCGAAATAAGTGTTTCCTAAGCAAAAATGTTATCTGGGGCTTTGTTATCGAGATATGAACGAGAAACCCTGACCAATCAGAACGCGAGTCTGCCAGTTGAGCTCTGGTTGGTCGGGGTTTTTCGTTAATATCTCGTTAACAAAGCCTCAGAGAACTTTTTCGCTAAGGAAAAAGTTGGTTCAAATCACCCCAAGAATCGTCGTTTTTAAGGACTTACAACTGTTTTGGGACACTCTGTATATATACTATAGTTATAAACAAAACTGTTATTTCATTGTAGCGTTTTTCATTCGACCATTTTATAAGATGATGTTGGGTAAATCTATTGATTTAAAAGACATGGAAAGTGTTGATTCAGAGTATTATAATTCATTATTGTGGATTAAAGAAAATGATCCTAGCGAATTGGAACTCACATTCTGTGTTGACGAAGAAAGTTTTGGTCATACTTCTCAAAGAGAACTCAAGCCAGATGGTGCTAATATACCATTAACCGATGAGAATAAAGATGAATACATAGGATTAGTTATACAATGGCGGTTTGTATCAAGAGTTCAGGAACAAATGAATGCATTTTTGGAAGGATTTAATGCTCTTATTCCACCGACATTGGTGAAAATATTTGACGAGCATGAATTAGAGTTGCTAATGTGTGGTATACAACATATTGACGTAAAAGACTGGAAGCAAAATACGTTGTACAAAGGAGATTACCATGCCAATCATATAGTGGTTCAGTGGTTTTGGCGAGTAGTACTTTCATTTAGCAACGAAATGCGCTCTAGACTTTTACAGTTTGTTACTGGCACATCGCGAGTACCGATGAACGGTTTTAAAGAGCTTTATGGCAGCAACGGTCCACAGTTATTTACAATCGAAAAGTGGGGTACACCGGAAAACTACCCAAGGGCTCATACTTGGTGAGTATATAAATTCATAATTGCGTACTTTCTTTTCTGTTAATGATAGTGAAAGATTAATAGCCACGTGCTGCTTTCATCCTATTCTTGTCATAAAAGAAACAATTGTAACTATAAAAACTTAAAAGAGATCTAGAACAAGATTTGATAGCCACTGTTCCTTTCCAGTTTTAATCGCATTGACCTTCCTCCTTACGAAAGTTATCAACAACTCAGGGAAAAATTGATAAAAGCAATTGAAGGTTCTCAAGGTTTTGCTGGAGTGGATTAGCACGAAATATCCCTTTTCATGATGATATCTGTAATATAATGTACATATATACATACACACATATATATATATATATATACATATATAGATACACAACCATGTATACTGTCTAATATGATTAACTATTTAACAGGATTAACATTCTTCTGCACTCTGAAGACTTAGGTATCTCTTGACTGCTAGTTACATCATTGAGACAAATCAATGAAAAGTATGTTTAACTATTACTTAACTGTTACCAATAATTCAGAAGAATCTTAAGCATAATGCACTTTTAAAAGTATAAGCTATATTTAACAAAAAAAAATGTGCAAGTAATTTCAAATGCTATCTTAGCAATTGACGAATTACAATTTATTAACTTGTTCACTTTATAAATGTAATTCCATGTTTTGACTGTTACATTTTCAAGAGTTTTTTTGGGAAAAGTTTCGGTTACTATGATGAAAGAATATTATTCTGATATTAATTGTAAATAACTTTAAGATGATAATTAATTTGTTAATGCCACAAAAAATGCTTTGTCGCCGGAGGATTGTATGAACACTATAAATTCACAACTTTAAAAGATAAAACGTTATTCGAAATTATCGAACACTAAAAAAAATGATATAAGTTACATTATGTGGTACTTGTCATGGTATATAAAACATGAACTTTAAATATATTCCAGCTATTTTATGGAATAAATAAAAAAAATGATAATAAGGCCAAGAAATTCTAAAAACAAAAGGTAGAAATATATCTCATATACAATGATGCTAGGTAATTTTGAAAAACATTTTAAGGTATTAATACTTCTACACCTTGACTGTACATTTTTAATAGGTATTTAAAACAACAATCGTTGACTTTAAAGGACTCTCACATATAATTTTGGTTAAATCGTTTTCAATGTTTTGTAACAATGTACAGTGTAAGAGTAGTATTCCCTTTTATAAAGTAGAGCATAAACAAAATTTTGGTATTCTTTTCTGCAGGAAACAATGTTAAATACTTGTCTGAATACTGAATTAAGAAATTATCATGTAGATCGTTTATTATAGTAATAAAATCAAGATCTTACATTGTGCCGATCAAAGAGGAATGTACCGACAGAAAGCAGGGGGAGGATTATTAAAAAGTTAATTATGCTGTTAGAAGATACTACAAGAAGAATTATGGTCAGTGTATAATGTATATTTTGTTCTATTTTTGATCAATTCATTTCTTTAAAAGCAGACACATTTAATTTAAGAATAAACTCGAAATTTAATAATGTACATACATATTTTTCAAGACAGACGTATCTGTTACATGATTTATTCGACTCGGACATAGGACAGTGTTCTTCTTGTACGTTCTTCTAAGGACGTTTAGTGAAAGTTACATTATGTATGTTTGGCTCATTGTATATAGTATTAATTAAGATAAAAAGATGAATAGATAATTGCATAAACGATGACACTCAAGTATTTGTACATTTTGACAATATATGAAAAGAAAGAGGAGACATTCGATTGTTTTGTCAAAAATGACATTCGATGCATCAAGTTGATTGATTCAAAGTACCGCGATTAATGTAACCTTGTAAATGCCTACTTTGTATGATAATAGCTATTCCAAGAATGTAATAAACATTCTCGAAGATGTTTAGCACTTAAAGCTAATGAAACATTCCATCCTGTTTGTACAGCTTATTTTATTGTAAACAGATACGTCCCGTTAGATATAATAAATGTTATTATTACGACAGAAATTTGGTGGCCTTAAATTCCGGTTACTTTGAATTTTGCGTATTTCACGTGTCTCTATGGTGTGCATATTTGAATCACGTCTTTGTAAATTTATAATTGTGAAGAAACAATCCACCTTGATCTATTATATTTTTTCTTTACGAGAACGTTGTTCGAAGACCACCGCATTTTTTCCTGATGTTAAGCCAAAACTTTGCTCATAACTATTACTTACGCACTTTCCTTAACTGACGATCTACTTAATTGACCCTTTCTTTCATCCTTATTTACTAGCATACGCATATCTTATCGAATCAAATGATATCCCTCACCAGTTGTATTTCTTATTATCGTTGAAATACTCTACAAGATTCGTTACAAATTCAACACGAAGTCGTCTTAACTCCTTTGTAAGATTATATAATCTTGTACACGTACGATGAATTTGTCTACTTACGATTACGTATGCGTTGGAAGAACATGGGTGATTTAATTCTAGTATGATTAACTTCTGCTTAATTTCTATGTAAATATAAAGTACACGTGTAAAGCTTGTAATATATCGATTACATGAAACGAATGCATTTTTATCGCACTCGCGACAGGGAATACGTACACGCTTGTGAGTCAAGTTTTTGCGATACAGTTATTCATTACTAACAAAATTCGACGGAAATTCGCGTCTTAACATTTAAGTACTAATATTACGATTAAAGAATTTAAAATTACAAAATAAATTATGTTCTTATATAACTCTGCGGAAAACGAGACTATATATGCAAATAAATTATATCACGAAGCATAATGCCAGAGTTTCTTTTATGGTTGATATACCTTTTACGATAAATCTTTAAATCGGGCTCGAGGGAAGAAAGTTTGAAAGTTCCGCGCGGCTTTCGATTCGCGGGATGAACCGTTCAAATGTTCCCGGCAATTCGAGGACGGCGCGGTTCACGCGACGGGTGTCAGATGGCGATAGCGGCGGGCACATCCGCAGAATCAAAAAAGACAGCTGGGAAGTGTAACATCACACATCGATTCGACGGTCCTGCGAGCCTGAAAATTTTTCGTTTCCGCGTTCCTTTGGCGGCACCCCGCGTCTCCTCGAGAAAGAAAACGCGGCCCGCCGCGTTCTTTCGATCGAGCCGCGTGTGCTACGCTAGAGAAAGTGATCGTTACGCGGACCGATGTGCCGATACGAAACGTGACTGTTGGTTATGCGGTGGTTCCTGTCACGAACAGCAGCCCTCGTTCAACCCCCGTTCCACGACTCTCGCAACGACCTACGAGGGAAGCTCTGCATGAAACTGGCGTGGAGGTCACTGCATTGCGGTAAGTACAACGAACGTTATCGTATATTTTCCCAACGAATATACCGTTCGAGCGGTTCGTTTTTTTTCGCGATCCGATACACAAACCAACGGGGTTCATTACCCTCTCTGCTGCGACGATCGCACGATGCGCGTTTCCAATTTTACCACGAGAAACACGTTTCGCACCGCGTTCTCTCTTTTGTCGATATATTTTCTTCTCGTCCGTGTTCTTGCAAGACAAAGTACGCTTGTCGTTCAAACGAATTTTTCGAGAAAAATACGGGGGTACACGATTCGCGGAAGGATCGTTTCCGGTTGGGACTTTGATGATTTTCGTATGGAACGAGGGTAAAGCAGGAACGGAGAGCATGCCATCGAGTTTTCATTCATTCGAGGCACGACGCGTCGTTGATGACCACCGACCGTTGGAAATTCTAATGGAAACGCCTCCGACTCACCCGCTAATTTTCCCCTTGGAATCGCGTGATGCTTTTACCGTGCAATTAAATTCGCGTTCGTTCGCAGCGTGGCATTGAGTTTTCGGACATGTACGCGTGCATAAAGTATTCGTGTGCGCACGCAAGGATACACGTAAATTCTCCAGAAGATGCCGACGAGTCGTTGACACTACCTACGAATCGTTCCGACGATCGGGGTGCACGGATTTCTGTCGTCAGGTCGTTCGGGGGTCGTCTCGAAGTGTACGGAGCAAAGTAAAAACAGCGAGTATAACTTTCGAGATACAGTCTGGTGGCGTAATAAAAATCAAACGGCAAACGACCGTTTAGCAGTCGCGGAATCGAATTTAACCCCGGCAGTGTTGTCAGCGTTGTGTTTGCGTAACCTGGTCGTAAACAATAAACGTCGGCAGAAAATAGACGCGTCCGATGTGTACGGGGTGCGTCGAACTCGCCTCACTGTATCGTATTCGTGTACCAAGGATATTTGTAATCGATCCGTAGGATCTGAAGGTAAATCCCCGGCCATTGTCGTCTCAATAGATAGTGTCCAGCGATACGAAATGAAAGAAACCCGATCGTTCGACTTACCAGGCAACCCAAACTGTTCGAACGGTTCAGACACGTTTCCCAAACCCGTCTATTTCGAGTGCTTCTTTTCATTTTCTTCGAGAGAAACCACGTTAAAAGACATTGTGCACGCACAGAACGTTCATTTAACCATTGTTTTTCCATGTGACAATCTCAAGATGCAGTTGTAATCTTCTTTTTATTAGGACTGTTTGATATTTTAGCGCGCTAACCGGTACACATCTTCTTATTCGCAATAAGAAACTATTAATGTTCTCGTAGCGACGTTATTACGCCAAGAGACGCTTCAGCTTTAAGTTCGCAAAGTGGTTGGAGAAACATCAAAGACTGATTAATGTTTACAAACACAATAAGGGTGCCCAAAGGCGTAAAGGCGAAAGACACGAGTAAAGAGGCGAGCGAGCAGAGGCGATGCACGTTCTACTTATGGAAGAACGAGTGAGATAACATTTAACGACATTAGTATCAAGCAGTATTGCAAAGGTCGTACACGTTTGTTTGTTTGTTTTTTTTTTCTTTTTTTTTTTTCGTACGATTGTTCGAATGATCGAGCGTTTGGCTCGGTTTCATAAAAATGATTTCTACGGTGCTCGAATTTCGAGTACTCGGACAGATCTATGGGCAACGCGTCGATTACGAACTTCTTGGAATTCTGTCAGCTATTATAATCGTTCTTCCGTGTAACTCTAATGCAGACTACGTGCTCGGCTGGCACAAAAGCGTCGCGTCGTCTTCTCGGTTGATCGGGGCGCAAGCTGACACGAGCGTGGTCGTTACTCGGCGATTGTTCTCCTCGCATCCTCCGGAATATTTATCAAGCCACCACTGCGGGAACAATCGTATCCCTGCGGCAGCCAGGATCTTTAATAATGGGAACGCGATGCAAGGCCGTATTGATTTTGGACGCAAGGTGCGGTGCAAGCCGTTTTCGAGCCGGTGCAGATGGAGATTAATGGAAAGTCGCTTGCATCGGCTC